GGTTCCTGGCTGTGATGTGTTCTAACCATCGTATAATAATTATGGCTTCTTTTTTTTCGCGATTTGGAGACAAGGGTTTTTTTTAAAAAAATATATTATTATTCTTATTATTATTATTATCACTATTACCCCACCGTGGCCATACGGCTATCCACAGATATTTCGGTATGATACGGTCCGGTTCTGAGGGGAAAAAAAGAAAAAAAAGAAAAAAAAGCTTGACGAGGCCAAGTGATCATCCATATCTAATCGAGGCGGATCAGCACCCCAGAGTTGCAACTTGCTTCTACGATGCATGGTTGGGTTTGAGGTAAAATACAGTGCAGTACAGTACTCGTACAGTATCTTGACATGCTGTGCTCGTACTTGTGCATACAGGTACAGTACAGTACTCAAATTCATCCCTCCAGTCTGCGCTGTTTTAAGCCTTATATCATAGATACATATGCTCCAGGATATCATGACACTGCCAGTAGCAAGCAAGTATCAGAACCGTGGATATCCAACCAATCGAACCACACGGGAGCTCAGAAATTAACGAATTGAAGGTGCCCTACCCGTTATCAGAGTTGGCGATTAGTCCCAATTGCCAAAATCTAGGAATGTCAATTCATCTGCCATCGGACTAGCGGTACCGGTGGTCCGCCAACCGCTAAGTATCCCAAATTGCTTGTACCCGAGCACAAAGACCGGTATATTTAGCAGCCAGCCACGATGGAACCAAACAAGCAAGTTATTACAGCCCATTCCTCCCCCCCCCCAATACCCGCCCCATCACCACTACAAGTACTGCCATAGGCACTCACTCAAGCCTTCAGACACGTACTAGTACATACGGCCACCCGATAGAAAGATCCCGGTCACATTCCGCAGCAAGGGTTCCGGTACCCCAAACCCCATCATTTACCGTACTCGTACATCTCCCCCCCGCTCTCCAACTCCCACTGCATGCAAGCAAGTCCTCAGCCCTTCCCTCCCTCCCTCCCTCCGCCATCGCTATCATATCATACCTCGACCTCCAGTCTGTAGAAATTGCACTTTCTCCCAAAATTCCCTTCCTCACCCCCCCGGTACACAATAATATAACAGCACAGCCTAACCCAATCACCCATGTACTGTACACGTCGCCCCCATCTGCATCCCCACTCCGCACCACGACGAAAAACAATACTCGAGTGACGGCTTGTGATACCGCGTGTAGATTCCAAGCGGCAGACCCAAAAGCACACCATCGTACCACCAGTCGCACAAGGTTCGCCAAAAGGCAACCGGGGATGGGGGAAAAAAAAGCGAGAAAAAAAGCTTCCCCTCGCTTGTTAGCTACTTTACCAGCGATACACCGTAACCGCACATAAGTTACCGCCCTGTACTAGTACAGTACTCCACTCAGGCAATCAATCGTATCTCTCTGCAGTGTGAAGAGGTGATTATGCGAGTATCATACCTTGTCCTCGAGTGCCGCACTCGTACTGGACCTGTACCTGTACCCCAATTGATACGTGTGTGTGTAGACTTTTTCCCTTTCGCCGTGGCTGATCCTTGACGGTTTTTTCCTCTTCTTTTCTTTTCTCGAGATACAGGTAAAAAATGTGGGTCCTTGCGGGTAACTTACTCGGGTGTCGCATGCGGGAGAGAAGCCACGGCGTTGTTGTGGAGTAAAGTTACTAAACAGTACTCGAGTACCGGTACGCTATACGGTACTCGAGCACTGCACCCGCAAGGTGAGGAGAAGCACTCGGGAGCGGCGGGTTCCGTGGGGCCAGAGTCTGTCGAGGGACTAATACGGTACCGGAGATATCACTAAGGTAGGGTAGTATGTTGGCCACCCGATGCATTGTATGAGGGGCGGCGCGCGAGAGAATAATAATAATAATCAATAAATTCAACTCTCACGATTTCGCAATTGCTCCAATTGGTATACGGTAGCCACGGCAGGTTCAGGTAAATTACCGTACGGTAGGCAGGCACCATCTGGACTTGTCGGTCACTATTTCTCCGTTAGCGATTCTGTGATACGGCCACCCCGCACCAGAAGACCTTAAGACATTCCCCCGGACCGAGATGTTCTCTGCTGCTGTGTATGATACCTGTTCGGGTACCCGTAGTTACCTCTTTTAGTTGTGTTGGGTTCTTTTAATGCTTACTTGTACTTGTATGTTGTGCACGGCACGGGGTGTCTCGCGCAGTAACTTGCACCCGTAAAGCAGACCTTCCCCCCCCCCCTGCTCAAGCCTCCGGTTCTTTCTGCCCTACCGGATCATCCCCGCCCGCAACCAGCCCGCATGGAGAATATAATAACGACGAGGAGATGTTGGCCATGAGGGATTATTCAATACCATACTTTACCTTACAAGTACCTTGCCTTATCATACTTGTACAGCGCCTTACTCTCCTCCCTCCACTTTCCACGAGTGTCTGGTGTCCCATGTCAAGTGCCGGTACACTAACATTTTAGTCTGGATTCAGTGTGGCGCTCAGGATAGAGTACAGCACTTACAGCCCTGTGTTCGAGTACGGTACGCTGCCTACCGTATTAACCAAGGTATGATATGATGCCACCTATAGGAAAACCCGACAGCCGCTCTCCAACCAATGCAATGGTCCACCTTCCTCACACCTAACCCAGATCCAACCTCCCACCTCGCCTTCCCAGAGGGTGCAGGGGAAGAAAAAACCCCTGCGGACAACAAGAAGCTGGATCACTCACTCAACTATTCATAGACGACTAAGCGAAATCACTTGGTCCGAGCTCTCTTTTTCTCTCTTTCCTTCCCTCTTTGGACCACTTGGGGTAATGGTTTGGTTGTACCATCCGCATCCAAGCCGAGTTCATTCAGCCCTTGTAAATCCTAATACTATTACTTTCCCCCACCACCCCCCCTCTCCCAGTCATACTGGTACTCGAGTACTCACAAACTCTCCCCGTCCCCACGTTTTTCGTCGAGTGGGCGAGCGTTAGGCCAGGTTAACGTTCCCTTGGCGGAGCTACTCGAGTATAGTACCGTAGCGGTACTGTGCACAGCCCAGTCCACGATAGTAGATCCAAGAAAAGGGAGAGGAGAAGAATAAAAATAAAATAAAATAATTATTTCAGGAAACCTTGGACCACTATTAACTAGCCTGTAAAGTATGATACTGTAGCATAACCTAAAAGGGTACGGTATTGGTTGTTCAGCCGCAGCCTTAGCGTAGTGAGCCGTTCTCCACGGTACGGCTGTCATTCTGTCTCTCTTTCTTTGTGTGTGTGTGGGTGTGAAGTGTTCCTGCGCTTGTGTGACCTTGCTCTGCTTTGTACGAGTACTCGGAGGGCCTTGGTTTGTTGTTAGTCTACGGCTGAGTTAGACTGACTGTCACTATACGGTACTTGTGTGATACCTTAGCTGGCAAAACTTCCTGGCTTCGACCACCACCATCCCCGTCCTTTGTCTTAGACCCTAGTTATTTTTTTAAACCAGAGCCGTCCTGAGCAATGCCATGCATCCTCGTGCTGTGATACCTCTCTCCCTCCCGAGCAGTAACAATTGCTCGAGTATGGTGCAAGTAACTTTACAGTCACTTACTCAATTCACAAGGTCCAAAGGGCAGGAAAAAAGGAAAAAAGAAAAGGAAAAGGCGAAGTACCAGTACACTCCAATGTGGAGGATAGTTAGATCATTCCTTGCCCCCCATTCCTACCTTCCTTACCCTTCAGTACTCCGCCTTGTCAAAGTATTTAAGTGGAGATCCCTTCCCCAGAAGTATTATACTAGTCGTTGCTAGCTAGCCACTCACCCGACCCTACCCAGTGCACTTCACGAATAATCACTCTTTATTCAGTCCAATCCCTCTCTCTCTCTCTCTCGATCTTTTCATTTTTCGTGCTATTAAAAGGGAAGAAGGGAAGGATCAATATGAAGAGCATTTCTTTGACCGGTCTGTTCGTATCGACCCTAGTCGTCAGTGCGAGTGCAATCCCGCACTTTAATAGTATCTTCGGAAGAGGGGCTCAGGATTCCTGCTATACGCAGTACGGGGAGGGACGCTGTCAAATACCGAAACTTTGTAAGTGAACCATCCACGTTAATGTTGTTGTACCGTAGATGTTTGTACGGAAGGATATGCTGACATAATTGACCCCAGGCAAGGGCATATCGGTCGGGGGAAGGTACTGTGGAGGTGGTTACGGCGGCGGTTACGAGAACCAATGCTGTGTGGAGCTTGTGTGTAAGGTGTCCGCGGGTACGGGATACTGCCGTAGTGTGAAGAATGGCGGATGTCCCGGCGGATCATTCCAATATAGTGATTACGGATCTTCCGTACACCCCCCCCTCTCCCTCCACTTGCCCGGCCAAAACTAACACGACAGATGCAGGAATGGCCCTGCACTGGCGGCGATACCCAATGCTGCGTCCAAAGCCAAACTCCCTACCCCCCCTCGCCCGACTCGGACGACACCAGTTCCAACAGTTCATCAGAGTACCCCGGAGGCGATGCCCGCATCCACGGGAAGGCAATCAAAATGATCAAAGAACTCGAGGGCTTCCGCGGTGACATATACAAAGACCAAGTCGGTGTGGACACGATCGGCTACGGACACAATTGCGCTACCGCGCCGGGTACCTGCGAAGCCCTAAAAACCCCCATCACGGAGAAAGAGGGGGAAGACTTGATGATGAAGGACATGAAGCAGTTCGAGAAGTGCATTTGCGACTTGCCGAATTCCGAGGAGCTTAGCAGCAATCAGTTTTGTGCGATGGTTAGGTATGCGTCTTTTTTTTCTTTTCTTTTCTCTCCTTTTCTTCACTTGCCCTCGAAGTCGACCTCGACTGGAAAGGTCTTTGGCTAATGTGAGGTGCAGTTACGCGTTCAACACTGGTTGCTACGGCACCCGCGACCACTTCACGGAAATGATGAGTAAGAAGGATTATCACGGAATCTGCACCTCCCTTCCGACAACGAATACACTCGGCGAGGTCCTCAAAAGCCGCCGAGAGGAGGAAGCCAAGTTGTGCAATACACCGACTAAACAGTTCAGCGGATGTAAGAAGCATGATTAAGCGATCGGGGGCGCTTGGACGCCATGTATATTCTAGTTTCCTTCGCATACGAAGTTGATGTCTATAGATCTTGGTTCACGTCAGACACCGCGAGGACTAGGAAATTTAATGAGATATTTTGATGCCCCAGATGTTCTACATCCGTACGCCCACCTGAATAGTTGTATCCAAGCCGAAAATAAGAATCGGAGAAAGGAGAAGGAATTCACGGTGCAGAGCCACGAGCGGCGCTCGGGCCACAGGGCAGCGGAGGAGAGGAGAGGCCATCTGGTGAATTGTTAGAGGTTCGAGGCTCCGTAACACACGGGCGATGTGAGAGAATAGTTTAATAATTAGACCATGTTTTGGAAGGTCCGAACGATCCACACGTTGTGCAGTCACTAGAACAAAACTCTTTTGCTCCTCCTCCTCCTCCTCGCCTCTCAAACGGGTGCCCCCCCCAAAGCAAAATCTCCTTTTACCCCGCCCTTCTCCAGTGACCACATTCCGGAAAATACATCGGGTGGGCCGGTGGGGACGATAAGAAGAAGCTGACGACCCGTCCGAATCCTCCGATTTACCGTCCATCCATCCATCCGTGTGTGTGTGTGCAAGGTTCCGGCGAGAAACCGCCGGTACGGTATCCGCCGCCGGGCACCGCGTCATATTCGCAAATACCTGCGAGCCATCCGAAGATAATCCCACCCCATCGAGAGGAAACGAAACCGCTACCAAATACGGGGGGCGTAGAAGCCGAAAAGGACTGTCAGTGCCATGGGGAAGTCCGCAGGTTTTTGGAAAATCCAGGGACACAGAAAAATCCCAGGTCGGTCCGCCCCGCTTCTCCCTTTCTTTTTTTTAAATTGGCCCTGGTTGTGTTGTAGTTGTGCTGTCCAATATGTGCTGTACATGTACTCGTACAAATACAGTAGATACGACCTGCTATACCTATCTATACAAACGGGGAAAAACACAAATGAGGATACTCACTAATTTTCCGTCCCCACAATACTAGTAAGGTTGGCCGGAGTGATCGGGATTTACCAGCCTCCGGGGAGTTTCAAGCATGGGTTGATGTTGCGCGTAAATCCCGGGTAGGGAGGGGGAGGGTGCCTAAGAAGCGAGTGAGGAGTTGTGATGGTGGGATGACACTACGATAGTACAGTATTAAGTTAGCCATATTCCTACCTCCCCCCCGTAAGTGAACATTGCGCGAGCATTCCCAAGGACCGCTACATGTCACGGGATCTCCAGGAATAATTTCCTATAGCGGAATTATCGTAGCCTTTTTTTTTTTCCTTCCACACACTGTCTTTACAAATGTTCCCCCGAACAAACAGCTCATGCCCGGGTAAGATACCCCTCCAAATCGAGATAACCCAGTTCTTACTCCAAGGGGCTGTCTCCCCTCATCCAGAATAGCACTGGAAGGGATAAAAGCTATTGAAAACTACTTATCCACCACCACTCTCTTGCTCCTTAAAGTGTCGAGTCTTTGGAATGGGCCGGAGTGGTTCGATGTCTGTCTGGTCTCGGAGACCATACCGGCTAGATCAACAGAAAAATAATAATAATAAAAGCATGGCGGTCTAAAGCAGAGGAGCAAACTTTGACCCCCGGGAATATTTACTCGCCATACGTGTGAGTTCGTTCCCTCGAATGTAGCGATGGAGGATGGATAGGCTAGGGAAATTGCCATCATATCATACATAGTGCTCGTGCGCACTGAGCCCTGCTGTTTGTTGTAAAGCTTAATTGGCAGCGGCAGGGAGTCCTAGTTAGAATTAGTCAGGGGTTGGGTAGGGCGTTACCCCGATCAGAAAAATCCAGGAGACCTATGATACTTACCCACTCCTCGTGGATATGCTGGACATGCTGTCCCCATTGTTGTTAGATGGCATGAAGCAGGTTAGGTATCGTAGCCGCATAATCATGTCCCATTGCCTAGTCATCGGGGAATCTCTGAAACCTCAGCTTCAAGCTGCATTCACATGTTAAGCCAAGGGAATGGTTGACGTTAAGCTGCGGGCCAGGAATTCAGCCACCACCACGCGAGAGTTTGTGCCACGCTATCACGGTCGTGTCTCATTCGCGGATGCCACTCTCGCTTGCTAGGTTGATCGCTAGTTGTGCAGTAGATATTAGATGCTATGCTGCTTCTCAACCAAGTGGGCCAGAGCCTTGATAAAGCCACCGACTGAGACCTCCCAGCCCCAGTTCGCAAGCCTGAATGCTACCCCATCACATCACACACCACGTTGCGGAGCTATGATGAAACAGGGAGATCAGAAAACCCCGGCCTATCACAGTCACAGCGCCATGTTTTCAGTTGCGACAGAGCTCGAAGATACGATGGAAGATTAAATTCAAACTCGACAAGGGGGCGCAGACAGACGACCCTAAAGCCAGAAATGTGTCATCAGATATCGCGGGGAACGTCGCCTCGAGTCGATCACCTGGGCATATCAGAGTTTTCTGAATATAGTTCGTTGCGAGTGCCTGTCTGTGATGCTATGGGCTGTGGAACAACTCGTCCCCGCCCCGCGCGGACATCGGCAGTTCCTGCCCTGGCCACAGTTGCAATGCTTCTTCCCAAAGAAGGTATCATACCCAACACGGAGAGGACTGGTCCACAAACTTGCTTGAGATGCGCTTTGAAATCGGAAAGTGCTCCAAAGGCTAGCTGACTGCTCGCCACGAAGGGAAACAAGGTACAAGAATCCTTATATTGCCGGCCCAAGTCAACTAGAACCAATAGAATTATCGGGAGAACTGTCGGAAGAAGTGACTAGAAAGTATCGCCGCTCGCAAGCAACTAAGGATTCCCATATCATCCCAGAACACCAACCTGCCTGCCCGCCACAGAAAGTGTGGGGCGGGGGAGACCAGTGTAGTGAAACCTTGGCTACCGGTGCAGTACGATATGATACCAAAGTTTTTCACAAAATACCAAAGTCAAAAAAGTCTTGGGCCGTATGCTAGGGAATGATAGAGGGGGGTGCCCCTCCCATGCGGCTTTCGTAACATCGTAATTGCCACCACCGGTACCGTGGGATTAGAAGACCACTAGTCTAGGCGTCGCCGTTGTCTCACACAGCCCGAGCCAAGAGATATGAATTTCCATCCAAAAACAGCAACCATCCTATCCAGCCTCTGTGCAGTAGCTCTGACTAATCGGTCCGGGAAAGAGCCGTAGAGGACAGATGGAAAAAAAAAATTTGAAGAGCCCGATGCGGGGGTCGAACCCGCGACATTGAGGTTTCTAAACAATGTAGATATCCGAAGATAAAAGCCACACGCTCTACCACTGAGCTAACCGGGCATACACCGCTTCTCAATATTTTGCTATCACGAACACACATTCATTGTACGAGTATTTGAGAGAAGATCCCTTGCAACCATCCCCGCAACCTCATTAATTAGATACTACAAGTCCCACAGGAGCCCACATGAAACCCTTCCCTAATAACAAAGAAAATGCAAAAATAATATCAGGGGGAAAAAAAAATGTTATTCGCCAACGCCTTTTGACCAATCAATTCGCCCGTCACTAATCCGTCACACAACTACTTCGCAGAAATGACTGCTAGCCATCGCTGTTCGTCCTTCCTATCAAACCTCAGAAGCATGCGGAGAACTGGCACCAATTGCAGCTGTGTCTTTTTATCCTTCTGTTCGAGAAATTGAAGGAGAACATTCTTCAGATAGTCCATGTCCACCGTCTGGTTCCCAGCGGTATTAGCATGTGAGGAGGTTGGTGATGCACGACCCGACCGGGCTGAGTCTATAGACGATCTGGGATTGTTATCGATACCCTTTGGACGGACAGCCTGCAGTTGGCGGTATTCTTCTTGAAGGGCCTAGGGGCGGTTAGTTGGAATAGTGGTAGTGCGAGAATGGGAAATGTGGCTACCTTGTATGATTTCTGCAGCTTTTCAGAGCGGGCTTGTTCCGCCTGGAGAGTTTTGCGTACTCCTGCCCTTTGACGTTCTACTTCCTCCATCTGGTTATCAGTTTGATCGAGAGCATCTTGCATGCTTGCCATGGCCTTCCTTGTGTCCTCATATTCCCTTTTGATCCTCTCAAGGGCCTCTTCAGCACGGAATTTACCGTCTTTCAATCCGTTCAGCTCCCGTTCCGCCGCTGCCTGGGATTCTTCAGCATGCTTCAGGTTGCGCTCTGACTCACGTACTCTATCGCGGAGTTCCTCAATCTCCCTTGCCCGTCTTCGGCCAATGGTCGCAGCTTCCTCTTCGGCCTTGTCACGCTCATCAAAGGCGGCCTCCATGCGTTCCTTCATATCTCTGGTCCGTGCGCTGTTTCTATCCTCAACCTCACTGAGTAGCCTTCTCATGGTCTCCGCTTCTCTAGAGCGCTCGCTGAGTAGTTTGTGGGTTTCTGTAAGTTCTTCCTCCATAGATTCATATTTCTCAACGGCTTCCTTCATCTGCATCGCCAGTTCGCCGGTTTGATCCCTCATAGAGCCCATCAGGCTCTGGGAGCTGGTATACTGTGCGACCTTCAATTCCAGTTCTTCGGTCAGGGTAATATTTCCATCCTTAAGAACTTTAATTTCCTTTTCCGAAGCCGCAATCTTTAGTTTCAGAGCGTTGACCTCCTCCTGAACTCTGGCGTGGTCTCGGGTGTTCTTGTCCGCTGTTTCTAGTGCTTCCTTTCGTTCGTCGTCCATCTTCCTAAGGTCCTTTTGAGCTCGCCTGGTGGCCTCCTCCGCCTGAACCCTCCTAACCGCCTCCTCACGAACTCTGGCGCGCATTTTCTCAAGCTCAGCTTCCTTGTCCGATATCTTCCTGGTGAGATTGGTGATGTCGTTCTTAAGATCTCTCTCAGATCTCTCGAGGCGCTTCAATTCAACAAGTTTTTGATTCGACTCATTTTTTCCGGCCGCCAAAGTAGCCACCTCTGCCCTGAGAGACGTCAGTTCAGGCTGCGCTTTCTCTATAACCGCTCGGAGCTCCATCGTGTCCTTGTATCTAGTGGCTGCCAATTTTTGGGCAGCGGAGAGATCAGTTTGAAGTGTAGAAGACCTCTGTCTCAGGCTTTCATGCTCTGCGATCAAGGTGGCGTGAGCTTTCTCGGTTTCAGCAGATGTCGACAAATTTTGAGACCTCAAAGCCGATATCTCAGATTCCAACTCTTGAACCTTTTGCTCAAGCTCCCTCTTCCCCGTTCTTACTTCATGGAGCTCTTTCGCTTGATCCTTAATCTTATCTCGGGCTTCCATATGGTCCTGGCCGAGATTTACAAGATCGTCCCGCAGAGATTCTATCTCTTCATGGACCGCTTCAACATCCACCAACTTGGCCCTTAGCCTAGCGATCTCCTCTTCTTTCTCATCAATTCTCCATTGCAAGCTAGAGTTAAACTTGGCAATTTCAGAATCCTTCTCATCCAACTGTGAGCGCAACGCAACAAGTTGATTCTGAAGATCCTCAAGAATCGACTCAGACCAAAGAGTGGTTTCCGGGACCGATACTGGCTCTAGCTCCTCATCGATAATCTCACTATCCTTGATTGGGCCCTCATCCGTAGTAGAAGTTGAACCTTGAGCACCCCCTTTGCCCTTGCCTTTCCTTTTCCGATTCTTCTTCGCGTTCTTGCCCGCTCCAGGTGCAACACCAGCCGCGCTCGGTTCGGAACCCTTAGAGGCCGGGGTGGCCTCTCCGCCAGGCTTTGACGAGTTCCCAGCCAGTCTCCTCTCCGATCCCTGAAGCTTCCCTTCCAGATGGACGACGGCCCGCTGTAGCACGATCTTACCATCCCTCAACTGATTGAGCTCCTCTGTGAGCTTGCCAAGATGTCTTAACATGTCGTTGCTTGTATGATTGGTTGCCTCCAGGTCAGAGATCTTCTGTTTTGAAATCTCTAGGGCCCTCTTAGCTTGTGTCAACCCAGTCTCCTTCTCTTTAAGGTCCTTCTTTTTCCCCTCGAGCTCCCTGGCTTTCTTATCCAGAGCCTTCGTGATCTCCACCAATTCCTCAGCCCCAACCCTAGCCTTTTCCTCGGTCGCTTTGGATCTGGCCTCAGCCACCCTCAAATTCTCCTCCACCAAAGCCTTACCCCTTTCCATTTCCCGCAAATTTTTTTCAGCCTTCGCTGCAATCTCTGTAGCCTCATTCTCTCTAGCTGAGGCAAGCTCCCGCGTAGTTTCCAAATCCTTTTGAGCATTCTCTACACTCTGCTGCATTCCTTCTACAGCCTCCTCGGCAGCTTTTTGAGCAGCTTTGGTTGAATCAAGGTCAACCTTGAGTGTCTCGATCTCTTTCTCCTGTTGCTCGACCAAAGTCCGTAACTTCTCGTGCTCGTCATCAAACGAAAAGATATCATCAGAAGATCTCTCCTGCTGCTTCCCAGGAGTAGAGCTTTCCGCGGTACCATTTGAAGCCCCCATTTCCTTCCTCAATATCTCAATCTCTTCGTCCTTAGTTTTCTGCTCGTCTTTAAGTCTCTGTATCTGCGATTTATGCTCGTCTCGCTCTTTGGAAACTCGGATAAGTTCCTCTCTCGCTAAATCAGCTCGTAGAGAAAAACTACTGATGTAGTCGATGAGGGGTTTGGGGTCGGCTATTGACTCGAAGGGCGTATTCTCACGAAGAGCTTTCTCAAACGGTTCTATGAGAGCGCTGCGGGCATGAACAATCTTGTAAGAACGCAGTAGGTCTGCGGAGTAAGGATTTAGCTCAACGAACACACAAACACCGCAAACAGTTGGTCATGCGACAAACCATTGTGCTTCCCCTCGATCTTTTCCAACTTTCTCAGCTTAGCCTTAACATCTACAGGCAGATCCACATTCGATGACAACGAGGATGACGAAGACGATGAAGACGAAGGTCCAGGGGCGGGGCTCGCAGTCCTAGAGGGAACATCCTTCTTTTCCCCATTCCCGCTCCCACTTCCGCCCGCCCCACCGGCACAGCCAGAAGAACTCTCCCCGTTTTCCTTACCACTCGGCTCCGATCCACCACCCAATGGATTCTCCGGCACCGCCTCCCCGGGCGTAGGCGTACCCACCCGTGAAGGGATCAAGGTAGTAACAGAACTCCCATCGCTCTCGTTCTCAAACTCAGATGGGTCCTTCTCCTTCCCCGCTGCGGTTGTCCTCGCGCGAGAGGCCAAGCGCTGAGCGGGTGAGCCTGAGCGGCGGGAAGGTAAATTTCGAGTTCGTGCTTGTTCTTGTTGAATTTGCGAATCGATGTGGGATTCCAGCACGCCCTTAAATCGTGCAAACATCTCCGTTGTGCGTCCGTATCTATACCTAGCTAAGGTCGAGGGCGAGGAGGGGGTTGAGAAGTTTAGTCTATTGAACGACGGAAGAGATGGAAGCAGCAAACAAAACCGGGCGGACGGATCTAGCGGGTGGAATTGTGTCTGGGTTAAGGAGCCGCGCCAAGACCGCATAAGCTGTCACTCGGATTCACGCTTCTTTCTTTTTTTCCCCAGCCAACGGTACAGTACGAGTAGAAGATCACCAAAAGCGTTTGATCGACTGATCGATTCCTCAAGTTGCATACGTGTCCCGAATGAGGGTTTGATCTTATAATAGTCTGCATATTACAGGTATTATAGCATGACAGAAGCTGTGTTATTTTCCGCATTTTTTTTTTTTCCTACTCTGCACCACTCACTTGCGCAGAGTTCTGAATGGATACAGCACCATCCGTACAGTAGTACTGTACGGTACGGTGCAAGCGGGTTCTCGGCACCGTATGGATGGAGTGAACCTTGTTGGCGAGCTGCGGGATCGCTAAATTTACCTCTAGAACTGCATGCCCCACCGCACTGGAGTACCGTATTACCATACTACGGTACCGCAAAACGTATACCGTGGGTCCATCAGCACTCAAGCCACAGGAGAGGAATCGAATCTGCTCTCAGACCGGGTTGGAAAATCACGTGATATGATATGTATCTATCTACTTGAGTGAGGTATGACACCCGGATGAACCTTTGACTGCAATCCCTGGGTTCCTCGAGTGATGCTCCGTGAGCCAATGTGGATGATATGTGAGGGTCCTGAGCCTTTCCGTCATCATTCGACAAGTCTCCCAGGCCCCTTCTTCGTAGTCATTCAGCTCTAATATTGAAATCTTACCTAATAACGCAATACCGGTAGACCAAGGAAAAGATACACCAGCCCCGCCTTCAGCTACCGTACCCCAGTAACTCGCAATAGAGGTGCAGTAAGGGCAGCGGAGGACCAGATTGGTGAAGTGCTCACAGTTTCTGCTAACTCCCTTGATTTCGCAGCCTTGCCCACCAACCCGCAGCAACAAGAACCGTGAAAACCCTCCAACCTCTCCATCTCTCGGTGCAACTCAAGAGGGTTTTCGTCATGACATTCGTATCAGAGTATTATCACTTTCCGCCTTTTTGAAGTGTCCATCTAGCCGCTGACATCACCAGTCATCTCCTTCATTTAGATTCCCAAATCGATCGTCTCGCACTTGACCGTCTACCCTTGACTTTCGACTCTCACCCCGCAACACCTCATTCACTCCCGAGTCAGCATTTACGCCTTCCTCCCCCTCCGACACCCCGTGCGATAAAACTTCAGAGCATAATAAAATCACTTTCGAGCACCGCTTCCCGCACTCTCCTTTCACCTAGACGATTGGTTTCCCTCCTCAAGGATGCCGCCATCCCGACCCACACTTACTACTCATACGAAGCGGAGCCCTACGAAACAGAACTTGAATGGCTGCTCCTGAGTAAGGCTACAATACAAACTTACGGAATTGTTCTCAACTCCCTCCTTGAGCAGACTCTCCCGCTATCTCAAGATTTGTTTTACTGGGACGAGGTTTCCGGTAGTTATAGCTACACAGCACTGCACTCTCTGCAAACCGCACCGGAGAGGATCTGGGCCTTCGGGAGGGAGGTTGTGAATGATGCGACAAAGAGATTCAAGGAGAGGGATGGGATGGGCTTTATGGGAATTGGGGGGTATTCTCGGGAAAGTCTGCTAGAGGATACCAACCAAAGCGAGCGGGAAGATGGTAGGGGAAAAGAGTCTTTGTCAGCTACCGTAAGAAGATTTTATGCACTTGTCCGGAATTCGCTAAGGGACCGGAACCTTGTCGAGTTTCAGAGGGTTGGGGCCTTATCGCTGTTTTCGCTGGCTAGACATGAGATACAGGTGAAGCAGGCTGGAATTAAAAAACTCCGGGAAATGCAGGCTTCTGCTTTAGGTGTATTGATCGGGGAGGGGCTAACTTTTGATTTCGGGGAGGAGGAGGAACATGAGGAGTGGAAGGCTATCGTTGAAAGAGCAGTGTTGTTGATGGAAAAGGTGGTCAGAAATGTTTCTTCTGTGGAAAGCACACTGGACGAGTTTGAAGACACCGTGTTTTCCCTCGACGGACTTGGGGGAAAGGCCGACGACGATGAAGACGATGAGCGGGGGTCAAGATTATCCTCAAGGCATTATACCGGTGGTTCCGGAGGAAGAGCCGCAACGTCAGCATTAGAGAAACAACTCCAAGAAATCCTCCTCAAGCACCTCCCTGCCCAATCGATTGCTTCTAGGGCGCTAATATCAACTCACGGTCGCCCCAGTGCAATAACTAGATACTGGCTACCAGTTACAGCCCTTTTGCTCTCATCTTCCACAATCCTTAGAATCCTTGTGAACCGTCAGGCAGAGCTAAGTCAATGGCTTCGTGAACTTGGTGCGACAACGGTTGACTTTTGGACGAACTGGGTTGTGGAGCCCGTCCGAAAGATCATTGGGACTATTCGTCACGGAGAGGACTCGGAAGTTGCACTTATGAGCCGGAGCTCTTTGAAGGCTGATATGGAGTCCCTAGAACGGATGGTGGTTGATTTTGCGGTGGACAATCCTGCAACATCCTTGCCTAAGGGCTCACTGCCGTCCCCATTGACGAATGCTCAAATCCAGGCAGTTAGACAGGCAGTCCACGAAGGAGACCTAACCCCGGTTCTCAAGTCCTACGAACAAGAGCTGAGGGCCCCTTTCAAAGGAGCAATCAAAGGAGAGCTACTCAGAGCTCTTCTAATTCAAATACAAAAGACAAAGGTGGACGTCGAGGTAGCCATCAGTGGAATTGATCACCTTCTCAAGTCACAGGAGTTAGTTTTCGGCATGGTAGGCCTTACTCCCAGTGCACTGGTCTGTGTGGGGATATTTCAGTGGGCAAGGCATTCCATGGGCAAAGGCAGAGGACGTCGTAGCGGCCAACGCAGCGGAGAGATGGTCAGGACCCTACGAAACATCGACAGAATTCTCACCGGGAGCGCCGCTTTCAGGACTGGTGAACGTGATGACGGCAGAAGCGGAGTCCTCACTTACAAAGAGCATGGTCTACTGCTTTGTGAGGTCCATGTTCTAAGAGAGTTCGCCAAGAAGGCTCTTCCCACAGGCGTTCGAGCCGAGTTCGTGGAGGATGTGGAGGAACTGGTCGATGTAAGACGGGGTGTGAAGAACCAATTCAGGGTCTTGGAGAGAATCAGATGGTGAGTATCCGGCTATAGCCTGTGAATGGAATGCACTAATCTAGGAATAGGGCATATGCAAAGTGGATTAGATAGTAAGGATATCCCAGCAGAGTTCAGTGGTCAGAAAGGGGAACCGAGGAGGTTGGTGATATTTATGGTCGGTGGTGAGCGTCCTAGATTCCTTGCTCTGGGAATACCTTCCTTCGAATCTGCACCCGGAGCGAACCTCCAGGCTATAGCCCACTTTAAGCCCCGTTTGGTAGCGCTTTAGTCCTCTATCCGAGCATATGTATTTAAATTAGCGTCGAAACGTAACTCCTTTTGGGATTATTACCAAGTTAGTATTTGTAGAGTTGCCTATGTACCAGCACAGTACCCTCGAATTTTTCTTGCGGAGCACCCGTACTGAGCTCGACTCGACAATTGGGCATCTAGACAGGGTCAAGTTCGTATCATCACAGTGTATGCCCCGGGCTCTGTAACCCAAATTATCATGTTCCCCGGAGTCTGTACTACTTGCAGAATCGTTAAAACGCTGAGGTAGACTACCATCGGGCCGGTGTCCGCCAAGCCTTTAACCTTTCTGCAGCTCGGCTCTTGAAGGCAAGTAGCCGGCACAGGAGAGGGACAGAGAGAAGAGACCAACAACGCCTCTTCTCGACACGAAATACCGGTAATTCAACGACGCACCGGTGACTCTCCTATAATAACGAGACAGCCTCGCCAAACATCGACCGTTGAAGAAGAATAGCACTATTCTCCTCTGGTGCATAATAATATTCTCAGCGGCAAACATCCTTACATAAAAGGCCCCCCAACACATCACACGAATCAAGGAACTCCTTTCTTTGGTTTTTCTTCTCGATACCGTGGAGATCCTGCTATCTTAATCCACCTCGCAACCTGTCTCCTGGCTCCCACCTTCTCCCCTTCCTGCACTCCATCCTCCAACTAGCTCCCTATCCCCTCCCCCTTGATCGCAGTGGAGCATTTCCTCCTTTCTTACTGGAAGCCCTAACATCCACCTCATCCGCTATTACATACACTCCGAGCACGTCCCTCTTCCGGTCCTCTATCCAAACTCATCGCCTTCACGGAAGCTCACAGAAAAGATGGCCGGTTCAAGGAATTATGACTTCCTGGTACCTGATCGCCCCCTCCTCTCTTCCCCCACGTTATCAATAAAGTGGGATAGTTTTGACTCACTGGTATTCTGCTCTCTCTGGTATAGATAAAACTTCTCCTGATCGGTGATTCCGGTGTCGGGAAATCGTGCTGTCTCCTCCGGTTCAGTGAGGACTCTTTTACCCCGTCTTTCATTACCACTATCGGTATTGATTTCAAGATCCGAACAATCGAGCTGGACGGTAAGAGGGTCAAGTTGCAGATATGGGATACTGCCGGTATGTTCATTGATTCTGATTCTGTACAACATCCATCTCATCACTTCCCATATCTTCCAATCACTTCAAACCTGAGCTGACAATTTTTTGGTATGCACAAACAGGCCAAGAACGCTTCCGAACAATCACCACTGCCTATTATCGCGGCGCGATGGGTATCCTACTAGTATACGATGTTACCGATGAGCGCTCATTCAACAGTAATCCCTCTCTCCTTTCTCCTTTCTCCCTTTTCCTATCCTCCAGCTATTCCTTGGCCCACCACCAGCTAACGTAAACAACGATAGACATCCGGACGTGGTTCTCTAACGTAGAGCAACACGCCACAGAAGGCGTTAATAAAATATTGATTGGAAATAAGTGCGACTGGGAAGAGAAGCGAGTTGTGTCTACCGAGCGCGGGCAACAACTCGCCGACGAGCTAGGGATCCCATTCATGGAGGTATCCGCAAAATCCAATATCAACGTCGAGAAGGCCTTTTTCAGTCTCGCAACCGACATCAAGAAGCGGATCATGGACACCGCAAGGGCAGAAGAGAAAGCCGGTGGGCAAGGCAGCGTCGTTGACCCGAGCAGGGATAGCGGAAACATGAGCGGGAAATGTTGTTAATTCCTAACCGGTAGAAACTTTGCCGTTTTTTCTTTTCCGTTTGTTATATTTCTAGCTTTATTCTTCCTCTATGTTTTTCTTTCTTTCTTCTTTTCGTCTTCTTCTATATCCCTTCCATCAGCTTTATTTTGTCCCGAACAATGAGGCAGAACCTATTCGAGTAAGTAACCAGGTAGAATGAAGCCAGACCCAAGAATTGGAAGTTAGGAAGGCGGAAGGAAAGATGCGGGTCAGACGGAAAGACAAGCGGGTGGTGGTGGAAGCTATGACAATGAACAGATAGCGCTATTTGTTTGGATCTCTTTTGGTGCCTTGGGTTAGGATATTTTTATTTCTTTTCCCTCCTCTTTTCCCTCCCTTCTTTTCTTTCTCTCCTGCTTCCTTCGCGAAGTGTGCCCGTATGCGCGTTTTCCCCTCTTTTTCTTTCCCCCCCTTTCCCCTGTTATCGATAAAGTATTTACCCCGAACTATCTTTCGTATGTTTGATTCCTGCATTTTCTCTTATTTCCTTTCCTTCCCTGGATAATCAGATTTTATTTTCCTCAATCGTCAAAGATGGTTGAATTAAGGAGGGATTGACGGAGGGATAGGATGCGGAGATAATATCCTAATAAAGACGTGGGAGGTGCCGTTTGTTTATTTTGTTTTACTTCCTTCCTATACTATTTCTATCGTACTTCTGGGATTGATATCTTGTAGATTGGTTGTTTCGGATATCAGATTTGGTGGGAGGGGGGGGAGGGGGGGTGTACTCGGTTTGTCAGTCCATGATACGGTACATGCCTGCGCATACTCTGCACCCCCTCAACTCATCTAGATCACCTGTAACGTAATGTAACATAAAGTAGTAAGAGAAACTCTAGAATCATCTCTTTTCCTGTGCACCTCCATGTTATCTCCCACCCCGCCTTCCAACCCCAACTCCCATACCAGCGTCTACACCCCTCCCTTTACCCCCTGGTAGGTCCCGAGCCTATTCCTGTACATACCTCGCCCGAATATCCTTCCACTGCCTCTACTCCCCCCAGTATCCCCCCGTTAGCTCCCACCCACTCACCCACCCCTTTATCAACAACCCCAAGGACAGGAGACTCACCCCACGATTAAGGTTATCCCAAACCCGATCGGTTGCCTGATCGAACAATCTAACCAACCCCCCCCAATTAGCCCCTTTCCACACCGCTACCACCACCTTAGCACAAGAGAGAGGAAGGGGAGGGAGGGAGGAAGCAAACATTTCGAAAGCGAAGGCACCCGCGAAAACGGTTCCGACAAAAACGTGGTTTCGGCGGAAGATTGCGTTATAGATTGATTGCGAGAGCTACAGTAGGTGAGTTAGTTAGTTAGTCAGTAATTGCGGTAGCGGGGCAGGGGGGGGGTACACTCATGATTGCAGTCGTTGGAGTGGAGTGGGGTTTGAGTTGAGTTGTTGAAGATGGTATTATACGGTAGTGGACTCGGTCCCCTGGATGAAGTTTGGTTTGGGTGGAGTGGAAGGTGATAGTTGGTTAGTCAGCTTTCTTTTTTTTCTTTTCTTTAAAAAAGAAGTTTTGATTGGTGGGCGGTGTGGGTTTGTTCGGAAGGGTAACGGACGGGTACGGTAGGGTAAGGCATAATATGATAAAAGAAAGGTACAGTACGAGCGCAGTGCAAGTACCGGTACGGGGTGACGGGGTGATTTGGCTTATGATATCATACGACGTACGGTACCGGTAAATCACTCGAAGCAATAAGATCATTTTCCGAGAGTCTCTGCGGTCTACTTGGCACTTGCCCATTCCCCTTGCATCCGGAAACCCTGGCATTTCTTCCTTGTACTCGAGCAGACCTAGAACCCATGTCGGGATTTCCGGGTTGTTTTAGAATGGGCAGATAGAGTGATAAAGTGTGATGTTAGGGGCCTTTTTTTTTAAGGCCTCTTCACCTCTCCGTCTTTGCGGCTCAACAAAGGAAAGTATTGTAGCGATTTAGGGTGTTTGGAGGAAATGAAATGGGGTATAATGATTAAGGAGATTGATATCGCCTTCCCGTCCCGCAGTTTGACAGACTAACACCACTTTACGCCATGTTGACCACGGGAGGAAAAGCGAGAAGGGAGGGAAAGAAAGAAAGAAAGAAGGAAAGAAATTAAAAACAAGCATTTACAGTATTTCCCCCCATTTGCCAGGGTAGGGGGGAATGGAAACGGAGCATTAGATTCCCAGAGTAACTCCTCCCAATGAAAGTTACAAGTATAAAATGAAACATAGAAGGAGAGAGAAGAACAGCTATATGACATCATTTGATTTGGCTCAAGTCTGCTTCCTCGCCCTCCCTCTTTTGGTCTTTGGTTGGGAAGCTTCGGGGGTTCCTTCATCGCTTGAATCCTTCTCCGGCTTGACCTCCTTTTCCAGAGTATCATCCTCCTTGACGCTGCTTGATTGTATTTCCTGCTCCTTACCGGCTTTGTTCCCAGTAGCGCTGGCGTTTTCAGGGTTGGGTGATGGGCTCCGGGTTTCTCCTCTGCCCTTCGCCTCACTGCCGTCCTGGGTATCGGGAGTGGGCCTGCGAGCCCCCCCTTCGCTCCCGGCATACCTTCTCTGGCCAGGCGGGCAACCATTCCAGGTTCCACACCTTACACACCCCCAACATTCCATATCCTCCAGACTCGTGGTTCCTGGAGGAGCAAGGCCGTTCACTATGCGGCAATTCTTGCAAATTAAGGCATACTGGTTTTTTGCACCAGTCTCATCTTCCCCGACTATCACATCTAAGAGACGGTCATACCATTTCGGGGCAGTTGCTTCCTCAGGCTGGTTCAGTTGCTGGGAAGAAGGCTGGGGCTGCGGGGGGTTATGGGGGGGGGGCGCTCAGACCTGGTCGGCCCGAAATTTCGGACATGCCTGGCCGAGCCCCGTGGTGTAATTGGTATTGCATTTGTGCCGGGGAAGGCAATCCAGCACGTTGTTGAGCCATCATCTGCTGTTGGATCGTCTGCTGCTGGATTTGTTGGGGTGTTGGAGGCGCAGTCGGGCCAGCAACTTGCGGTGGGCCTTGGGGTCCTGACCGACTCTGTGGGCGCTGGCGTAACTGTTGATTGATGGAACCTCCTTGGGGCGTGTCAGGCTTTTTTTGCTTCTTATCCGTGTCTGCTGGAGAGGAAGATCCCCCACCATATTTTTCGATGATAGACTGCGTTGTTGAGAACTTGGTGGCAGCCTTGAGCTTTTCGATGGTATCATTCTGCTTTGTTTGCAGCTCTTCCAAAGCATTCTCTGCATTCCCGATACGATAGTTATAGTAAAGATCGAAAAACTTCCTTACCGACCAGATACTGCCCAAAGAAGTGAGTTAGTACAGTTTCCGGTAGAGCAGGGTAAAGCGCAGTACCAAACCGGTCCACCTGTCACTCCCGAAAGTTCCACCGGCCCCGCATCCTTCCAGCCCACTACTAAGACTATGACCACAACGTAGAGAATGTACCCTATCACTGTATACAGAGTGAATAGGGCTTTGTAACGGCGAGAGCGCTGACGGAGGCCGGCTAGCTTTGTTGTTTGGGTCTGGATTTGGCTGGCCAATTTCGAAAGGATGCGCTCGAACGAATCAGGGGAGTTGTCGTCTCCCTAGAAATCTCAATAATCATTTTCTTCTTCATCAGCACTCCGTAAGAAATCACCCAGGTATCATACCTGAGAGCAAAAGTGCTCCATGAAGGAAGAAAACTCACTCTGCTGAATGGCCAAAACAAAACCATTTTGATCCCTCTAAACCAGTAGGTACGGATACCCCGTAGCCAAGAAGTCCAGGGCTCGAATATTTTCGCACGGGTAAATAGCAAGGTAAGGTTTCAAAAGTGGATAGGAGCAAACAGCTGAAGGAAGGGGGGGGAGGTTGCTGGAGAAGAGGCTTTGGTGTTTTCCGGTGGTAAAGAAGCCACGGCGGCGGTACCGCGTGTCATTACGCATATAGGCGTCACGTGACATGTGATCCCGGGATTCGTCGAAAGTCGTTGCAACTTTGCTGGTGACATTTTTCTACAGAAAAGGAGCGAAGAAACTACACGGAACGGTAATAATGCTGCTGCTATCGTTACCGTTATCTGGCTGAACTAGACAACTGTTCAATTCCTCCTTTCTCGTCCCTCCCCTACTCTCCCCCCAAGGGCATTTCGAGGCCTCTGGGCGGCCTGAATAAGGCCCGCACTCCTGCACCCCTTCTCCTACCGGTAGCGGACTGCCCAGGACATTTCCACCCTGCGCACTACCGGTACCGGTACTTGCTATTTATCCGCCTCTCTCTCGAACTTCCCCTCACCAATTTCCCCCAACTCTGCACCTTTACCGTCGCAGAACTTGGCCATCTCTACGTCTTTGTAGGATAGGCCTTCCGGACTGTGAGTTGTCCAGCGGATGGTGACTTTGTTGTAGACCTAATTCTTACCCAGAAAAGGATAGATTCTCTCAAGTTAGTTTCGCGACCGGACCCTTGATAGCCATGGCGCTCCATGCAATTGCCATTCGGCAAGTAAAGGTAGAGAATTTTCGCCCACATTTGCCCAGTCCGGGTGATGTTTCCTGACTTTGCACTGGTCCGCAATTTGGTTGATGAAAATCTATCTCCCCTCAGTCAATGAACACTGGGTTCCCCATCCTTGACACAACCCTTTCGTACTTGCACAGTGCAATGCAGAGCAGCCGACACGTACCATGGTTTTTGCAAAAGTCTTGAACTTGAACTCACGCTCTATCCCCATTCGGGTGGCGCTAAGCGACCATTTTCCCCCGGAGATCAACCCCAAAGCCTCCTTCTTTGTGGCTTCATCCGTCCCCGGAGACCACTGAGGCTCGTTTGCCTCCGCGAGAGCCCGCGCTCTCCCGAACGTGGACGTCGACATGCGGCGTGGTGCTTCTTTCAGAGCTGTGTAGCGGGTCAAGGTTCTATGTTGGATCAGAATTGGCGGCGCTCGGAGCAGGTTGTGAAGGAGCAATGGCATTCTGGTGATGAATATCGACCCATATTAGTGCAAGGGGACAGTACTCGAGTACGATGACCGGCCGCCGGGATACCACGTACCTGAATAAGCTGAACCTGGTTCGTGCAGCTCTTCCCCTTTGCCTAGGTACAGGTACTAACATTTATGAGGTTAGAGGTTGTTTGAGTGTAGCCCAGGCTAAGCCTTGACCCCTAACCTTTCGCCACTCTCAGCGCTTCAAATTTGCAGGCTCCGTTACCGGTACCCAACGTCACCTCTTCCATCAACACCATCCATAGTACCAAAGCCGAATTTTCGACCAGTCAGCTCACGTTGATCCTGAGCATGGGGGAATATGTGTACATACACGAACACCCACATTTATTTCTTCCAAAACCATCACTAATTCCCACTCTGCTTACAGAATCAATCGGCCCCACCCACAGCTTCTCCTCGAGAGGTCTGTAACTGATTTATTTCATGGTAATATCTCGGTAACCTGTACTTGGTGGGGCACAAAGTGAATGATCTCTCTCTTAAAACGAGGGGGGTTCCAGAGGGCGAGCATTTGTCTGCCGGTTTCCCTCTGGTAGACCACGATTAAGCCGGAGTTCCAAGAGTTTTCGATTTTGGGGGCTTGACTACGCCTGGTCTTACATTTGGCTTTTTTCTTTCTTTTCTTTTTCAATTGACTTGTTTTATTTTTCGTGCGCGTACTCTACTGTACATCCAATGGATCCCTTGTGTCGACCAATGCCCTTTGTGAACATGCACTGACTGTTGCAGCCTGGATCACACGCAGTAAGGGGTATACTGCATGCTTTGCTATCCCCTGAACTTATGGGGGGGATTGAAAAACTAAAAAGTTTTTTTCTTCTTTCTCTTCCTCTGAATGAAGTATCTTTGGACATGGAGCGTTGCCGCGTACTGCACCTTGCTACTAAGGCCGGCCGCGGCTGTAGGTTAGCTGTTTGCTGGCTCGGGCTCGTGATCGTCTCCCACTCGGACGGTGGGTGGTCCTTGGCCCGTTTTGCTTCCGGCATCAAGTGGGGAGCTCCCGTCGGTAGTGGCACTCGCACACATGCAAACAAACAACACCATCTATGGTAGTGATTTGCCTATACTATCCGCAGGGTTTTCTTTTTTTTTCTTTTTTCCCCACGAGGTGAGGACGAAAATGGAAGCGCTGCAGTAAAAGTGCCCCTACAACACCCAACCGCTAGGGACAGCTATGTACTTATGCGTCTTGATGCTCGAACTCCCAGAGGGATTGAAACCGGTAAACGGAACAGTCTGTTCCCCCCGCCAAATGGTGAGATACGAATTCCGTGGGGGATTAGTGGGGGCACCGTTGATCGAACCCGTGCTGCGGCCAAACAGCAATGAGGGATGACTGCTAATTTCCATAGTGCTTCTTTTTTTTTTACATCCAGCAAGCCGAAATTCTACCGCATGACATAATAATGCGCAGTGACCACTCGTTCGGATTTGTCCAGCGAGACAGCTATTAACATGGCATGATAGTATAGCTGTCTGGGCTTGCACAGCTTATCTTTGAAAGGATCGGGTGCAGAATCTGTCACTCCGACTCGTAAAGCAAGCGAGTGAGGGGCAACAAAAAATTCGGGCTAAAATGGTGCAGACTACGAAGCAATCCTCCAAGCCCACAGCCCTCATCCAGGAAGGGTAACCCGGTGCGCTCTGTCAGTTGTGATGGTTGGCTACTGCCCTGGGCAGAGGCACCTTGAATATCATTCCCCGGCCCTAGTGTCTGGGCCATTTATTCGGGGATTCGGGCAAACCCCCCAGGAGGTTCTGCTACTGGTCACTTCAAGACCAACCGTTGGTATGAAATGACGGTATCTATACTTGCCGAGAGTGTGTGCAGGGACTCGCACCTGTCTCCAGGCCATTGGGTGTTTCTGCACATAGCACCAAAGTGCTTCCGGCTCCCCCATGGACCGGCAGGTAGCAAAGCCTTACGATCTATGATCATGATGCTTGATCGGCACTCTCTGAGTGCTTATAATTTCCGTGCCGTTTTATACAATGACACACATGTTTCCCGTATCCTGACCTGCGCCAGTAATAATGCAGAAGGGATTAAGAATATGTCCAAGCAGGCTCTCTGAAAAAGGAGAGGGCTTTAATCTTGAACGATGCTCAAGGTGTATGGCACTGGAGCTCTAGTCTTCCACAAGATTGACGCATGGGTTTTCCATATGATTGATTAATGGGTTCCGGATGCATGCAGATATTTGCTGATTGTTTGTGTCCCCCCACGTCACTCCTGGGATGTAACGCAAGGGTTAGTTGCTGATCACCACCACCGCAAGTAAAGGGAAAAGATTCGCCAGTCACATTAAAGCCGGCCCATAACATGAACTGAAGAAATGGCGCAACCCCGATCGGACTAGGAAGAGGAAGAGGGTTAAGAATGGTCTTTCCGATGCATCACAAAACGCGTTTAACGGCACTCGCCCGTATCGTAGATGTTCCTGATTTCGTATCGGTCGCCAAGGGCAGCGCCCCGACATGCTTTCAATCATTGCCGGTGCATAAAACTTGACAGCACCGTGTAGAGAGTGAGACACGTTTCGAATTCCGAATAGAATACATCATGAGATATCACTCGCCTACTGCAGGGTTTGTTTTCTCACCGCCGATCAAAATAGATCCAGCGGATGAGCGGCAATCAGCTATTCGCACTGGGCCCAGTGAAGGTCAAGCCCACAACTTGGAGATTCCCCGCGAAACAGCCCCCGAAACTATCGAGGGAGGGGTAATTCTGAAGCCAGCTGGCAATAACACATCTTTGCAGGACACGCAGTATACGGGGAGACATTCCTCAAGGTATTGACCCCTCATATTTACCTATCATACAGCGTATTACCACATTGAGGGCTTTGGCGCATTCATCTTAATGACATTCTAATTCTTACACACTCGTCTTATCATCCGGACACGAGGTCTGGAGACAAACTGGCAGCTCAAGATGCTCAGTAACAAATAGGGGTATTAGCAGTACAATCAGTCCCAATTGATCTGACACATGATCCATATCGTGGTTTGTAACTTAAGTTTCTAACTTACGGATTTCTTTGGATAGAACTATGCCCGCCGTGCGGCTACGGTCACGATAGTAACAAACGGGGGCAGGGGCAACATGTGATATCTAGCCAGGGAAATGTTCTCAAGAGCTACCATTTCCGAATACTAGGCCGGCCTCCTTGCACGAGAGGTAAAAAAGCAAAGAGTCAGAGACGCCCACAGAAGTGGCACGCTCCTAATTATGTAAGCAGTTCTCACACATGCAACATAGGCAACCAGAAAAGAGCTCCCCTCCACTTGGTGTCACCGGGATGCACCCCAAGGATTGTGATACCCGCTCCCGCCTCGATGCTTCTTTTTTTTTTTTTTCCCTTGACGGAACCACCCCTTCCAACCCCTTCCAACAATCCCTACTTTGACTCGCTACGGGAGTGACGAAAATCTGCAACCCCTGGTTGGGGAGGCCAGAATAGATGTGGTAGGTAGTTCAGGTACCCGTCCTTAACATTGGCTCAACACGAGCAAGGATTCGGGTTGCCGATTGTGCGGGAAGGTACTCGAGCACCGCTGCAAGCCCAATGATATTCCTTATCATGTTGAGATATCCGCCACTCTCCGGAACAAGGTAATCTTGATTCAATCATCTACCGGCACAACCCCTCGTCTACTGTCAGACCTCCCCTGCCGTTTCCTTCGGTTACTCGCGGCTCCCTCTTGTCCCTCCTTCCACCACCTGCAACTGTACGGTACGGTGCTCGAGTACCGTACTCGGGCACTAACTTGGTACTCGAGTAGTCTACTCTGCTCGCTCCTCCCCTCGGTGTAAACCCCAGTCCGGAAAATAAGCAAGGAAAAGGGGGAAAAAGAAAAGAATAGGAAGAGAAAAAAAAAAGAAAAGGTTAGAAAAAGAAAGGAAGCGGGGGATCCCGACCAGCTAACCGACCAACCAACCATGGTCACTACCGAGATTCTCCACGTTTTCTGTCTTTCTTCCCTTCGTTCTGTGTGATTGCTAACAGCCCCTCATCCTCTTCCATAGCTCGTGCCTCACCTACCTCCTTTGCAAGTACTCGAGTACTCGAGTTCCTCCCTCGGACTGAAACGGAAGCATGCAGGTGCGGGAAGGAATTTGTTGACTTCACTCGGTGATATTGCCTCCTACCCCATTGTTTCTCGTCCTTCGTGGGCCACGGGAATGACGCAAGCGCGCAATTCAATCTTGAACCGCATGAAGGAGGAGGAGGAGGGGGTACTCGAGCAGAGTCGATACGGCAATACCCGGCGCAAATGGTCCCCCAATAAGATATGGTGGCTAAGGGTCCAGAGAAGGGCCTCACGAAACGGTTTTATCCTTTTTTCTTCTTCCCCTCTCACTCCTCTCACTCATCTCACTCACTTCACCTTCTCCCTATTTTCTGCACATCGCTTTTAACTCTGTTTGAACGGTGTAGTTACCCTTCGAAACAAAAGGTGGGGAAAAAAAAAATACCTCCCCAGGAATTGAGATTTCACTATCCCCAGCGACATAATAATCACGTCCCTCTATAATACGTGGCGGACGAGCGAAAAGGGATGCGGGCGAAAACAGTTAAATCTACCCCGGACGGGACTTTGTTGCAGTCTAAATTGCGATTTTATTTTGAGCCCACCCTCATAATTATGCGGTTGATATGAAAATTCTTCTTTGAACTAAAACCCTCTGGAGTATACATACCCGCGAAATAAAAGTTTCAAAGGTACCGTACTATACACACCCTTCCTTCGAAGTATTTTCCTGGACTGGTGCCACCACATTGTTGAGGTAAACCTGGGTACCGGGGGATTACCGTGGGGTGCAGGTAGGACACGAGCAAGGTAACGTGATCTTTCACACTTCCCTTTTTCTGCTAGTTACCGCTCATCTTCAAGATACTTTTTTTTGGGTGAGGGTCGCCATAATTATCTCTCTGTTTCTATTTTCACCGGGGTCATTAGGGAAGAGAAATGGTGAGCGAAGGTGGTATTATCACAATCGTATTGCTTGGTTGCTGTTGGCTGCAGGCTAACCTGTTTCTGCTGTTGTAGAGTAACGCTGGTAGTATTAAAGGTTGGCGTTTCAATAGAGAACAGGCGCTAGGAGAGTGTTGCGGTGGGAGCAAGGATTAGATGAGCACCCAAACGACCCTTATACTGGTACGCTGGGTGCTGTTTAGTCAAAAGATATCACACTTCATCTGAGTGCATACTCTTCTCGATGCTAACCTCAACGACACTCTTCCGAAGCACACACGAAACAAATGGCCCAGCGTGAAGGAAAGATAAAAGTACCTAATAGTAGGCTTTAATCTACACGTTAAGATGGCATCGAAAAGGTGGGGTGTACCTACCCTTCGATCCCATCTTACGTGTAAGAAAACTGCCCCAACAATGAGCTGAGCCAAAGTTGGAAAGGTACTTCTCTCTCGCCTCTCTGCAAGTGCAAGAGTACTATTCTCGCGCTGAGGAGAATTGGGGATTGTGTTCAGTACAGTGAAGGAAGCTGCTGTTGCTGATGAGGATTTGTGTTGAGTGCGGGGGTATGTCAAAAGGCGGAATCTACAGACTTTTATATTGAAGGATGGGAACTTTTGGGGGGAGGGAAGAAATATTGTTTTGATGTTCAAATTGTCTGTGATAATTGGGTCATCCAGGATCCCGGGACCGGTAGATCTACGGTGTTGTGTTTCCTCCACCACCCATCTTCTTCCCTCCCGGAATTTTTTCTTCTGCTCCTCTCCTTTCTCACTAACACGGTTTTCTTTCTTTCTTTTTTTTCCCTTCCCTTTCTAATTTTTCGTTTTTTGTGCTTCTCTTTGATGGGGGAGGGGGGGGGGGGGGAGTCGTACTAACCTAGAAGGTGGCAAGCGAAGGACGTGCGTTGTCAGGGAAATGCAGGCGGGGGAAAAGTGAGAAGTGAGAAATGAAGAAATGAAACGGGAGAGGGTGAGAGGGGGAAACGAAGTGAGAGCGGGAGCAGGATAGGCTTGTCGTGGGTTTCGATGAAGAACTGGGCGAACTGAGGCGCTACGAAACGACGAGTGACAGCTGCGGTTGGGGGGTGAATGTGACGGGTCTCGGTGGTGTTGGGGGTTAGTTTAAGTCTACGAATTATGGGCAAGTTATTGCTAGGCAAAGAGATAATAGAGCACTACCGTAGGATGGATAATTGGGGGTATTGAGAATCTAATTAGATTGATAGAGGATAGGAAGATGGGAAACTAGCTAGGAAATGAAGCAACAAAAACGGAGCCAGTGACAAGAAGCCCTACTCGATTCCTATTTCTTCTCACCTTCATCGTTCTCTTTTTTTACCCCTTCGTGTTTATTTGGCTGAAGAGTGATATAATCAATTGTCAATAGCGGGTGACAATGTGAGGGCCAATTCCGCGTCCCTATTTTCTTCTCTACCTTGTTTTCTTTTCCTGGAGAGGGGATCCGATAGGAAGAGAACGGCAATTTTTATTCATACCCCTTCTCTTCCTCTGATCGCCCCTCTTTTTGTCTTGCTCCTATCTTTCTCTGCTCACATCCTTTTCCCCTCGCTTCTCTACTTTTCACTTCAGGAAGGATAATTACTGTAACTCAAATTAAACTAGGAACCTTGCAAGTTGCGGCTGCGCCTTCGGTTGGCGGGCTGCGGGAGTCAATCGGCGGATCGGAGCGAGTGCACACTAGTCATGGATGGTTTGTCGAGACAGCGCATTTTCCAGAGCCGCACCCGCTTTCCCACTGACTCGGGATGTTCTAAGCCTGGTGAAATCTGAGCCCTGACATACAGTGTCTGGTGCAGCTCTTCTTTCTTTTTTCCCTACTTGTTCCTGGATGATCTTGATGATCCGACGAAGTACCGGTACCTCTCCCCCTGCCACAAGCACAAGCCTCAAAGCTACCCTTAAGGTACCGCACGGAACTAGAATAAGTGCTCGGAATGCGCGAGAGAGATTCATGGTTGAGACTGGATGTGGGATCAGAGTCCGTCCAATTTGTTAGTCCGCTCGGGATGGCCAACGGGGTTTTCTCCACCACGGAGGAGGTGAGAGACGGCCAACGAGCCCCCGCCTGCTCCACCTCATACCCTTTACTATTATCATCCCGCCCTCCTCACCGCAGCCACGCAGCATTCGATAGCACCAAATGTTTGGGGTGCTCGAGTACTCGTGTATCACCGGCGGCAGAGCCTTTACAAGTGGCACAAGGAGGGGTGAGTGCCGTGGAGTTCCTGGCCGAGAAGGAACGAAAAAGTCGGCCGGGGCAGCGACACAGCCGCAAGTCTGCTGGTGGGCAATCATTTGCTCGGCAGGGTGGTAAATTAAGCATAGGATGATTGCCAGGATTGTATTACAGTAGCACATGATCAGGTGTCGGTACTTTGGGCCTCCGATGCCCGGGTTGACCATTTTTTCCTTTTTTCCTTTTTTCTTCATTTGAATTTTTGTTTCCCATTCGCTTCTATATATTTTGTTGTTCCTGTTGGTGTTGATACCGGTAGTCTATGTATCATAGTCTACTGTACTAGTACTGTGCTCGTACTTGTGCTACGCCTCGACTTCTGTACTGCCCCCCTTTCTAAACCCGCCAACGACGATACCTCCAACCCCGCCAACCTTCCCTATCCTCTCTCTCCTTCTTCCGCCTCATTGCTGTAAATACCACTAACATCATCCGGGCCACCACCACAGCAACTACGACAAATACGACCCTACAGCTTCCAGCTTTGCATCGCTCCCGACCGATCATATTCTCCCCGCCGCCACGGGTTCGCCAGCCACATGCATGCCTTCCGCTCGCCTATCCCTTCTCGGCCCCTTCGCGTCGTCGATTCAGGGTTCGTCTTTGCTTGTGCCTTTGCTCAACCCTCCCTCCTCCTCCTCCGCTGCTCATTCTCATCCGCGGCTGTATCCCAATCCCGCTCACATCGTCCCACATCGTCCTCCTCTACTCTCTCCGCTAAAAATGCCTCACCAGTGCCAGAAGAATCCATGCCGTCGCGAGTGAGAGATAAAGAAAACGGGAGCGTGATCGGTAAAGAGACTATCGGCTCAAGTAACAGCAATCCCAGAAGCAGCACTATCAGAAGCAGCAGAATTGGGAATTGGCAATCCTCTCTCTTTGATTCCCTATTCCCCGAGGGTGACTCTAGGCCAACCCGACGCAAGCCAATCGGCAGACTAGACATCTCTGAGGATTCCACGTATCTGCCGGATCTGATGGAGGGGTTGGCACGTCGTAGAAGAGTGGGCACTGGGAATTGGGCCAAGTCCAGAGCATACAAGCCCCGAGAAAATAAGTCTCGCCATGGAGAATTGGAGTTGGAGAGAAAAAAGCCGCTAGGGAGACTGACCACCGCTCCCCCCACACGTAGTATGTCCCCCCAGCCTCCTTAGGATTTCTCAGCCAATTTTTTTCCCCCTTTTTTTTCCCCCCTCAGAACCTTTGCCACTTTTCTTTTTCTTCTCTCTTTTCCTCTCTGGTTACAATTGCAGGTTTCCTTCATCTCCTCGTCCTTGTCCTCACATCTTCCACCCCTTGAAATTATGGATATAGTGTTTCCGGGCTGCTTCAGTTGCGCGGTGTATCAACCTTGTTTGAGCGTGATGATGATTTTTCCCCTTTGTTGGGCTAACATTCTGTCGGAGTTATTTCAATTCTCACCAACTTACACTAGTCTAGCGCAGACAGAACAAGCATCGGTTGTATTCCTGAAGGGTGTTGGGACCACGATGCTAGAAAGCGATATCAGACGCCTTCTTCCGTCAGGAGTTAGCCTTCCGGGGTTTGGCAAATTCCTCGGTATTCTTCGTAGTATGAGCTCCTCCTCCTCCTTTCTATCTTTAACTGATGATGAACCGTGTTTTTTTTGTTTTTTTTCTAATTCAGGGAGAACCAGTCACCCCGGATCGTCATCCCGTAACATTGCAGCAGCGGCCGAAGTACACGATTGAGTTTTCTGATGCTGCCAATGCCGAAAAGTTTGTATATTCACTTAATCTTGACTACCAGTTGGCGAACCCGTCCCCCATGACTGCAACCACTCTTCCTCCGGCGTCTGCCCCAAAGTTTTCCCTCCCAGCTCAGGCGGCCGAGCAAGTGAAGAATGACTTACGAACACTACGCGGCATATTGACGAGCGGAAAGTGCCAGTTGGGCTGTTCAGTATTACTGGTGGCTTCCGGGCTGGGGGGAGACACGAAGGAGAGCGGCAAACTTCCAAGAACAGAAGAAGTCAGGCAAATGCTCGAGGAGGCGGATGTCCAGTTCTGTTCCAGGGACCAGGAGGATGGAGGAGCCGGGGTGCAGAGGATATTGCAGTATCGTACCACTGATAACGGGTTCAAGGTGAGGGTGAGGGCTGATGGGAACTCCCGAGGAGCAGAATCAAAGTGGATTGTCCGATGCCGGGATCCGGCGGAGGCGCATCGAGTGGTTCGAGACTGGAATGCGCGGGAGCTTCCCAATGGGCTGGGAAAATTTATGGCGGAGATGATATATTGAGCTAGTTCACTTGAGTGTCGGCGCCTATCTGCCCTACGGTCATCGCTGGCACTGTGGACTGCCGGCTGTAGCATTTGCATTTGCATTAAAGGAGTCTCGCTCAATATATCGGCTTGAGATTTCTGGTGGTGACTAGGCTGTTGGTAAGCGGTAGTCAGGTGTTCGTGTTTGTAGAAAGTGCAGTAGTATGGCGAACCTTCGAGCAAGTGTAGTACGAATTTTCGTCACGACAGGACATGATGATTCGGCAGCCACAGAAACATTTCGTAAAAGAAAAAGAAGAGGGGAGGAGGAGGGGGGGGGGGGGCAGGATCCACTTTCCGGCCGAGTGATAAATGTGGATTGTGGGCAAATCACTAACAATGCAATGCCGCTGCGCACACACAGAACTCGCATGGGGCGAGCTGCACTGGATTGGAGTGATAGGGTAGTCTACTTTGCCCATCCGTGCTAGCGTCACACCCAGGCACAGTGCAGTTTGCTGGATGATAGAGTCCGACAAGCACAATGCATTGTGAATCTACTTGCACGGCACTGTTATAATGCCAAAGAGGCGTGATATGGGTAGCGCTACCGTACTTGTACCGTGTGATGGGGCATGGAGTCCGCCGCGCGAATCATGATTCATCCATTGCCACGGAAATAGTAACAGCGTCTGACCTACGGCATGGGTTTCCATATTGAAAGCACTGTACGGTGCAGTACCCTACAGTACGAGCACAGCAGCGGGAGTGACATACGGTAGCATATCCTTCCCTACCGCTATTGCCTTTCGTCGCACGGTGTCGTGGTAACACAGAGCACTCGTGCTCGAGTACCTTCGCCCCAACGCTTTGCTTTGCTTTGCTTTGCTTATTTATCCCCGCACGATAGGAAACTGCTCTCCTTTATGTATTCGTGTAGACTGCTGTCCTCCCAAAGCACTCCTCTCTCCTCCGTTCACCCATGATACCGTACGGGTACCGTAATTGCTTGTACAACCGCACCCATGAGCCGGCACTGCTATCTATCCTCTGCTGACATGTATTTCGGGTAAGCAGCCCCTCACCCCCTCACCTCCTCACCCCCTCACCCCTATTTTAAAACCGGTGAGATAAGCAGCCGGGGTAGCCCTGTACAAGTACGTGGGGTGTCTTTCTTACCACATTAGGGGGGTGATTTCCCGCATTCGCTCAAGAGGCTGTTTCCATTATCACTCTGCACTCCAGTATTGCTGTCTTTGTCAGCGAGTGAGCTGGTGTGAGGCGGGGCCCTCACTGGGCGCGCGGGGAAGGGGTGGTTGCGTTTGTCGTGTCGTGCCGTGAATGTTATGCAGAGTCATACTATTTACGGGGGGGTATGTTCGAACGGATGGAATGGATGGAATGTGAGGATTGCCAAGTTCATATCACCGATAAGCTAAATCCGCTCTCTTCCTCTCTGTTCGGGTATCATCAGCCAGTGGTCGAGGAATGGCCCATTTTATACGGGTTTCATCGCGAAGCAGAGCAGGGTGGAGTGGTAATGGATATGGCGGGACCCTGATCATCTGGATTATCTGTGTTCCTCCCCGCTGTGATAACTCGTGGGGTGAGTAATGTTAACACCGAACGTCCCAAAAATTCATATCTGCGGTATGACCGAAACCCCTTGCTTCCCCTCCCCCTTCCCAATTCCCGCCCGGGAGCGAAATACGGTACCCAAGCTATCTATTATACAAGTACTGCACTCGCACAGCAGCAGCTGCCCTGCCATGGGAGCCCCTGGGACCCGGAGCGGAGCAAAAGGGCTCGGGGATTACTGATCGGCAGCAACAGCCCTTCTGCTGTGCTCGACGGAGGGCGTCCGGTTTTCTGTCTGGCTGCTGTCTCTGTCTTGTCCGTCCGTCCGTCCGCTGTCCGTCTGGCTGTCTGGCTGTCTGTCTGTCTGTCTGTCGGTCTGCTAGTCTCCTCTCGTCTGATTGTCTCTGTGTGTGGGTCGATGACAAATCGCTTCCTCTTCGGCAATGGATTAATCAGCCCTGGCTTCCCCCCAGCCAATCAGCGCCCTTGCCCACCACCCCCTCTTTCTATTTTCTTTTTTCCTATCAATCCATCGTTTTCGAAATTCCATTTCCATTCTTTTTCTTTTTCCTTTTTCCTTTTTTCCTTATGTTATCATTGAACCCCTTCCCGCCGTCTTACTCACAACTTACCACATCCTTTTTTCCTTTTCCTCCTCTCACCAAAGGACGAACGAACGAACGAGCGAGCGAACGAACGCAAGTGTGATAAAAAACATTATTATCTTTTTTTTCTTTTCTTATTTCTTTCCTTTCTTTCACCAAGCGAAGGCTTTTCCTTCCAGCTCGAGAAAGGTATCTATTTATTTTTTCCCTGGTTCCGTTTTTACCTTTTTTTTCCCCATTCCCTTTGGGTGTATCATACTTGGAGGGGGGGGTTTTCTTTGCTCCCCTCGCGTTTGGGTTTGGTGCTGCTGGCGGTGCTGGCGGTGGTGGGTGGTGGTCTCTCCAAGATTGACCCTACCGCTACCCAGCTCGACCCGAGCCTGAAATCCGCTCCTCCTGCCATCACTGACCCCAACTGAGGCGACTGACTAAATGCTTTGTCTGACGATATTTAGAACGTCAAAAAAAAAAAGAAACACATTAGTCAAATAATAATCCTGCACCCCCCAATCCATAAACTACCCCCGCGCCGACAGGAGAGGACAGCACGGGAACAGGCACCTCCCTTACCCAAAGCTCTCGAGAACAGCGAAACGCAAAGTAAGCCATTTTTATAAAATGCAGCAGCCAACACTCGCTCCGGCTCCCCATCCACTGCAGTCGCCCAGCGCACAGGTATTCCTTCCCTTTTGCTTTTCCATGAGTCCTTCCATCCCGCCTCACCTCACCTTCCTTTTTTGCCCTTTAAACCTATTGCACACTTACGATACCCACCCTCCCCGCTCCTCCCTTCATCGTCGTCATCACCACCATCTCATCCCAACAAACCGAAAGCGCGCATCAACTAACATTGGCGGCTCATGCAGGAAGCAGCGAATACCGCAGAGCAGAGTTGGTACCCTCCTCACCTCCTAACCACTACTACCACTACCACTACTGCCCCAGCGGGTGCACGTCGCCCCTCCTCCTCCAAATTCCGTGGATCCTTTTTTTTTTCTTCTTTTCCTTTCTCCTTTCCGTTCTTATTCTTTAAACTTCCCTCTTCGTTCTCGAGTAAATTATCGTTGCACGGAAGCTAACAGCGAATCAAATATCTTCTAATTGCACTATAGCTCTCCGCGCCCATCTGCTCCCACACATCCACTCTCCCCAACAGCAACAGCAGCAGGTCCAGCCGCAGCAGCAGCAGAACGTCACGAGCCCCGATAATAAACCAGCCGACTCGGCAAGCCCCGACCTGAACATCGATCCAGCCATCAGTGGTGTCGGCGCTCCCGGGGGCGTGAGCAGCGTTCCTCAGAGTCCGGGTTTAACGACGATGGCGATCCAGGGTATGTCTCCGGGCTCGCAGGCCGCGATGGAACAGCATAGCGGTGCGGAGGAGACACAGGCGGAGGGATCTTCCGCCGGCAGGGGCCGTGGTGGGAAACGCGAATTGTCAACGAGTAAGCGGGCGGCGCAAAATCGCGCTGCACAGGTATGCTTTTATCCGCCACGGGATAGAGAGGAGGGTCTAACTGAACGATTGACCGCAGAGAGCTTTCCGCCAACGCAAAGAAGGCTACATCAAAAAGTTGGAGGAGCAGGTTAGAGACTTCACCCAGATGCAAGAATCCTACAAGCAGATACAGGCCGAGAACTATCAACTCCGCGACTACATCATCAACCTGCAATCCCGCTTAATAGAGCACCAAGGGGAAGAAGCTGTCCCACCACCGCCCCTACCACTACTAGGCTCCTCCCCCTCTGCCGCCGGCGCTATCACCCTACCTACCGCTGCCGCTGCTGCCGCCCTTCCCCAGCAGCAGCAGCAGCAGCAGCAGCAGCAACAGCAGCCCCCACACTCCCCACTCACGGACCCCTCCGCCCCAACAGCAAACATGGGCACCGTCGTTGAAACCTCCAGCAATCCAACAGCCAATCCGTCGACCAATAATCCCCCGGGCGCGAAGCGCGCGCATGAGGAAGATGCGGCGAACGCATTTCTGCAGGGTGTTGCGGCGGCCGGAAATGGGTTTCTGCAGGCGCAACAGCAGGCAGTGGCCGCTGCAGCTGTAATCGCTGGAGCTGGAGCTGGGAGTAGTGGTGGTGGTGGCGGTGGTGGGGGCAAGAGATTGAAGAATGGGGATGAGAGTGGTGTTAATGGCGCCTAGCCTTGGAACCCTCACAAAGATTCCGAAGGGGAGTTTGTTGAGATGGAAGTGGTGGGTGGGGGTTCATTTTATTCTTTCTCCTCGTTTGATTTTGCCTTGCTTGGTTTTTTATCACTTCACCTCTTTTTCTTCTTTGGTCTGTTGGGGTGTAATTGTCGACGCTGAAGGTGGGGTGACTGGCTAGCTGGCTGGGTGGGATGGAACGTGACGGGATGGGATGGGACGGGATGGGACAGGATGGGATAGGACGGGCGGAACGGTGTAAGTAGTTTTTCTTCCTTTCTTGCACCTTTTCTTCCTTAGCCATTGGCGATGACGATGTGCAAACGCACGAAATGGAATGAAATGGATTGGAGTAGAATGGATGCACACGAAGTGATGTCGATACGACAGCGATTAGACAGAGACAGCAGCTGAGCAGGTGATAATCGGTACATACGAAGTTCCTTGTTTTCTTCTCTCTCTTTCCCCCCCTTTTGCTGATTTACTCCTCTATGGTATCAATGGATGAGTGGCGACGATGGGAGAATGAAGTATCTCTTTTGTTGGCGCAGGTCATTTCTATGTTATCACGAAATTTATTGATTTTGTTATTATTATTATTATTGCAGACTTGAATCCTCATCACCTCACTTTTTTTTTTCGCTTTTTCCTCCTTGTACAGATTGACTTTTGGGCTGAATGCGATGTAAGACGGTGAGAGCGAGTGATTGTTTGTGCGTTTGCAGGGCACAATTGTTGGGGCGGGGAGTGTTATTGACTGCAGGTGAATAAGCGAACAGACAGACAATGGGAGGTGCCTCAAAAAGCATTGCCAAGTCGATGTTCCTGTTCCAATTAGTTCCACGAGCAACGGAATTGGCAAAGCAAGGTAGAATGAACAGTAGGGGGGGGGACGAACCAAGATGTACTCCCTCCCGGCCTCCTCCCACATCCCCTTGGTGACCCACCCACCCCCCTTCCCCGCGCCTTCCCCCTGAGCAAACTTCGCGGCGCCTCTCCATGCGTCGAGCACTACGTTCCCGGCCCTGCGCACCCGCAACTCACTCCCGGCGGGGATAATCCCCCTCACCTCCCTTTGAACACGCTCGTCGAAGCCTTCAAAGGCGACGGCGCCGCCGGTCAGGAATACATCCCTGAGCACGCTCTCCCTCGCCCGCTCGTCCGCCACGCGCTGGAGCAGTATGTCGCCGGCGATCTCGACGACGCCGGCCTGATCGAGTCCCGCCATGCCGGGCTGGAAGAAGACCTCGGGGACGCGTATGCGCTCAACGTTCAGGTGGATCTGGCAGCCCTGGGCCTGGTCGTCCACGTCGTGCTCTCGCACGCCGCGGGTGAAAGCGTGCAGGAGGGAGGCGCGCCAGTCGCTCTTGGCCTCGTGCGTGTCGTTACGGTCAAAGTGGGGGTCGTGCAGGAGGAGTTGGTCCTCGATGGCCTTGAGCTCCTTGGCCAGTTCGTTGTCCTCCTCGTCCTCGTCCGAGTTCGTACCCAGGGTTATGTTGCGGTATACGCTCCAGTCGTCGTCGTTCGCGCCAAAGTTGTCGTCGTCGATGGCGCCGCCGCCGCCGCCGCCGGGGCCACTTGATGTTCCGGGGGCTCCGCCACCGCCGCGACGGCGCTTTTTTGAGGGTGGGGAGTCGGAGGCTAGGTTTGCGATGGACTTCATGCGCATTTGCGACGCGAGGCTCTTGCGGTCTAAGAGCTCGTTGCGGAGCCGTGTGCGGTCTTTTATCTTTGTCAGGACGGCTGTGCGCGCGGCATGGCGGGTGGATAGCCAGGCGGGTAGGTCTGCTTCCCGCTTCGCTGCGTCCTCGCGTTCTAGATCTTCCTGGCGTTGACGCTCGGCTTCCTTCTCCGCCTTGGCGCGGAGTCGGGCTTCGTGATTGCTTTTCATCAGCTTCTGGTGGCGCTTCATCTTCTTGCTGTCATCCGACAATTCCTCGTCCGGTATGTCGAGTAGTGGGAATGAGGGCGGGGCGCTGTTCGCTGCGTCCTCTTCGGCCCCCACATCCTGCTTGCGTGCGCGGCGGATGGTCTTGTCGAGTTCTCGGACGGACTTTTCCAGCGCTGCTTCGTCGCGGAAGTCATTCTGTTCGAGGAGGCGCTTGAAGTCGCGCTTCGAGTCCGTCTCCTGCCGTGCTTGGAGTGTTTTTAGGAAGGCCAGTTCTTGCTCTTTTTTGATGAGTTTCTCGAGACGCGCTTTGGCCGCTTGTTCCTGGAGCTTGCGGCCGCTTTCCTTGCGGCGCTCGGCGATACGGTCGAGTTCCTCCTGGGATTTCTCCACTTTTACCGTCTCAGTAAAGGGGAACTGGATTATTCTGTCCTTCTCCAGCAGTATTTCCGGCTTCAGGTAGTTTGCTACCTCTTCCTTGTAGTCCGAGCTAACATAACAATGATCTTTCATGAGTGCTTCAGCTTGCCAACTTTGAATCTTTGCCGGGAAGCCGGGGTATTTTAGCTGAATGAGCTTGAGCATGTAGTCCGCGGATTGGGAGCCTCCCCAGTTGAGTCTTGTGGAGAGGTTCACGAGGCCTTTCCCGTCCACGACGGGGATGAGGTGCGTGGCTGTATGGCCGGTGGAGAGGACAAGGCCGGTTTTCCCATTGTTGTAGTCGTACGAGAAGAGCGAGTCTATACCAAATATTACGGACGGCGCGTTGTAGCATTCAAAGAGTAGTTCACTCATCACTATCCTCAATCAGCTCCCCCTCCCAGTAACTAAGAGTGAAATGTAGGGTGTACTCTTCCGATTATACCCCGGTACGCAAACCGCCTCGGTCATAACCACTGGGTGTCCCACCCCACCACCTCCCTCCTCACCAACACCCAGATTGATAAAGCAATAGTCTAACAGCGTCTCCATCTGGTCGAAATTGGAAACAACATTAGAATCGAACGGATTCTTGGCCTGCCCGCGCGAATTCGGGTCCGCGAACACGTCGTTCCCGACCACCGTGTATGTTTTCTGCGCTTTGCGGTCGCGATACTTGGACACCATTGGCGGGCAGGTTAAGCGTGGGAGGGGATCATGGGAGAAGCCGGCGCGGGTTTGCGAGGAGCCTGTGATAATGTCAGTGTGTGTGGGCAGGGGAGGGGGGGGGGAGGAAATGGAGGAGTACCATTGTCGATCACGATGGCAATCTCAGAGCTGTTTTTGTAGGTATCGTTCCATGTTGTTTCGCTCGAGGTTGTATAGGTCGGTGCTTCGCGGATGTCGTAGAGTTTTGGGGGTGGTAAGGGGGTGGATTCTCGAGGGGATGTTGAGGGGGATGGCATTTTCGTTGATCGTTGTTTTCCTCGAGGGTGTCGGTGGCGGGATGGCTAGTTCATGGGGGGTATCGCCGGGTTTTATAGTTGTGTTCGGGGGGAGGTGGTGATGAGCTTACTTCCGCATAAGGTCGAGTAGCCTGACAATGGCGGTTGTGAGGTTGGAATTGGGTTTTCAAGCCCCACGGTTGCTGCTTCTGCAGGGGGGTGTCGCTAGCTTGTTGCACAACTGCCGTCTTGAGGTTGGTTGATGTCGCGATTGGAGCCTCCTCGCTATCGAGATGGACCCCCCCCCCCGATACGATTATGGTGCTGGGATATCATGAGAAGGTGACCTACTGGTATTCGCAGTATTTTCTCGAGGATACCGTCTTGGCTATCGGGGCTGATAGTCTCCTGGGTTTCACGGGAGCTTTAATGGATGTGGGCCCATGGTATTACCCGTCTCGTGATGCGCGGTGTTAGGCCAAATATCTTTAATGCCAACCATTCAAGCCATTTCGATCTTAATTCAATCTCCTCAATCCCATCTACACATTTCACAGTCACAGCATTTATCGCGATCACAGCATCAATTATTTTCGACCGATAACTTCCAACTCCCCTTTCCCTCCATCTCGCAAGTCCAGCCCCAATCTAAACCGGCTCCTTTAAACTCTCCGTAGCTGCAATCACAACCCCATTTAGCCCCCCACGCACAACCTCCAATTCCCGAAAGGGGACAGGGGAAAAAAGAAAGAAAAAAAAACACCTTCAAGATGGAATAGAACATTCGATTGGTAATTCTTAAACATCTGCGCGACCAACTCGGTGTTCATATTTTGCACATTTATTTCCTTATTCAGGACCACGATCAGCCACCCATTTCTCCCCATCTCACCCTGCCCACCGCGCTACGTGGATGGACTCACATGCAACGTTTTATTCAGCGTCATCACGGCTTCGTTGAGTTTTTCCTGCGCGGTGTTAGATAATGATCGTTGAAGCAGTGAGCGAGTGAGGCAGTGAGGCGACACCCGCCGGATACGCACAACATTCGTGATTATGCGGGAAAGGAGAAGGCCTGGGGACATTAGCATTAGCTTGGTGAATTGAAGCACAACATTGTGAAGCGGAAACGGGGGAAGATACCTTGCTGGTGCTCATGTGGGGATTCCATGGTGTTTTTTTTGGGGGGGGGCGTTTGGTTGTTGGTGCTCAGGCCTGTTGCTATCTGGGATGGGGTTGCATAAGGTGCTGAGAGTGTTGATAGTGTATGCTTGGCAGTCATGGTATCTCACTCGTATTCAGCACAAACTGTATCATTGAGTGTTGTTGTATGCTTCATAAATGTCGGATTGGTATCGCTGCAGTATATGAACTGGTATTAGCTAATAGCCGTAAGCGGATGGGTTCATTGGAACTAGAGTATCCCATCAGATATTTCCCTGGGGGCGGTGGTTCCTCCTCGGGAAGAAGAATGATAACCTGTGCTCCTACAGGGTGGGAGGCAAGAAGTGTCCCCGGTTGCTCTTCCACTTTCACTGCTTTGGCTGTCACCTCCCTTCTGGAAACGTTCAAGCCTGAAGGAGGATGTGGCGGTAAAATAAAGTCTCTGTGGGCCTTTTTTTTTGCCACCTTTGCTACCTCTGGGTCATCTATGGGAAAAGTGGTTTGGTTCGTAGGTTATGTAGAATTTGTGGGCTCGTGGGGTTCCAAAAGGTTGTTTATCCAGTCCCCTATTCCTGGGTAGCATCATATTTTCCAACTGCATCCGCTTGGGTCACCTCTCCTTTTTGGAGAAGGAAGCTGTGCATATGCATATTTGGTCATGGACCTTTCAAATTTCCTACCCAGTCCATTTCTCCAACACATTTTATGGAGCCTCTGCCGGGTTCCAGCTGTGCTACCTCCATGGCCCAAATTTTAATTTGGAAGCAGATGAAAGGTCGATTCCACTCGCTTGGATATTTGTTCCATCTCTTTCTAGAGAAACACAGTGCACACTCCGGGGTGTGGGGCAAATGACTCTCGTAAACTAACCGTTGGTCCCTAATTAAGATCTAGATCGGATGGTCATCCACTGGTAAGACTGACCCTCACGGGATCTTCCGGGGGGGGTTTGATATGCCTATTTATTCGTCCGTGTTTCGTTTCGCTGGGCTACTCGATATAGGCGGAGCTTGAAATTAAGTTCTGGCTTATTATGATTTTATTCCTTCTGGGTTTGGGCGCGTTTGTGCGTTCGGGGAATTTGGGAGGGGGCGTAAAGGATAGCCTCCAAGTTCCATACATAAGCACTTGCTGGAATACAAGATTTGAAGAATGGGGGGGTCAACCACGTAGTGTGATCCACAGCACTGTAACACTGAGTACTGTATGATGCGTTGCGGGGAACTGCGCCAAAGATAAAAACCGCTGTGGATCGGCCACCCCTATGGTTCTGTTATGGATCGCAGAAGCTAGCGGCCTACTTTGGGGTGTCTGCTCAACTGCTACTTTGACCACTTTATAACAGCATACTCATTGGGCTGAGGGCCCTCTAGCCTGTGGGGGCTCACCTTCCCTGGAGTCTCCTTATTGAAGTATCATATCATATATTATCCTCTCTAAGGATCTTGAAGGGTTTGTTGTCAGGTGTTCCGTGGATGAATTAAGGAGATGGCATAACCCTATGGACATTGTGATACCGTCCTATGATATCACCACGACGACTCTCTGATCGGTATTAAGCCACGGTGGTAGGGCCGCAGGACGGGTTTTCCCGGAGACAGAGTGTGGCGAAGATATCAGACCCATATCCTTTTGGCGTACCGGCACTTGTACTTTGGAAATTGACTTGGTGAGAATGCGCTACTATACACTTATTACTAGGCTCAACTCTCGAGCCACGCGCAGTCGGCCCCCCTACTGAGCGGTAATTATGCTGCAACACCGCAGGGTGCTCCTTCTTGTTTGGTTGGCATCTGCGATACAGGGCATAAATGGGCCAGGGTGTCAGAATATCTCTCGCATGAGGTATTACAGCGAAATTTCCAGAACCCCCCCCCTACAAATTGTGTCACTGAATTACTGGTTTCGTGGGATCTTGGCTAGCCGGTATGTGGCCTTGGGAGAGGATTTTGAGTGCTCAGAGTAGTAGCTGGATGGAGGCGGAGGGGCTATTGGGAGTCGTGGTAATTGCAGCCAAGTTAGACTAGATCTTCCCAGCTAAGCTTCTGCCGGGAGAAGTGTTATCATGGGTGCACAGTGCTGATATTTCGTTATACCCTTTGGGGCTCCCGAGCGTTTATCCCAACACTCATTTCCTTCTGTCGTCGCGTATGGTGCTTTAGTCAAGACTTCCCCTTCTACAGAGGGCGGGTTGGAAACCCAGCCAAAGCGCGCCCTCCCTTCCTCTTCTCGGGTGGATTGCCAAATCTTGCTGAAAGAGGAAATCCCAACGACATAGAACAACTCTTTCAATTATTCGATTTTCTGGGGCATTCAAAATTTAGCTTCTCTCTGTTGGATTAGTTAGTCTTCACTACGGTAATACTGGCACGGTGGTGAATACACTCCTCTTGGAAATATGTGGAAAGGGAAACACCCATTTCACCCTGTGGTGGTGCTTTATCCATTGTATATTTGCAGGGGGCCGATATGGGGTATCGTTACAGCCAAGGTCCAATTTAATCCAGGATCCCTTCTTTTTGTCCGATGGATCTTGGTGGCGTCTTTGCCCCGGTAGGATCTGATTTGTCGACTGCCTGTGACGATATCGCAATGTTACTATCACGACGCTGCGAGCAGATTTTGGCCGTGATCAATGAAGAGGAGGCTAGGTATTTGGGCCTTGGTGGTGTGATCCCTGTTGGCTCCTGTGGGGGGGAGAGGCAAGTTGATCATTGACCTCCAGACCCTAAGCTCTTATGAGGCTCTTTCTTGGCAATCCTATCCACTTGACTGGGACCGACTTTTTTTTTTTTCCCCCCTCCCTCCCCCGTGATAAGATTGGGAGCAGCCCGCACGCCGATAGAATCTCTGTCGTACTTGTTCACCACGGCGATTGCAATCCACCCACCCCTCCCGCTGGGCGGCCAATTCCGATTCCTCCTCTGGCAAGAGCCTCGATAATGCTCTCTACCATAACCCGGCCGTCTTACCTCTGCGCCCAGTGCCGATGCCGCCTCTTGCGGAATGTCGCTCCACGGCTGCTTCGGCCCTCACCCGTATCAAATCCACGGCGGAACAACTCTACCTTTCCGCAACGGGGGCCTCCCGGGCCAAAACCGAAACGTGGGGATCCTATTGATGACCAAATGGACTCTATGGTGGATTCATTTATCAAGAGTGCCTTCAATAGCACCTCCCTTCCCCCTCGGCCCGCACCCGGCATTGGGAAAACCGAGACCAAACTCAGGGCTCTCCAAGCACTCCCGGACACGTGGGAGGAGGCAGGAGTGCGGCCTGTGGTAGCCAAGGCGCTCTTGAATGCATACCCTAATACTGTTAGGCTCACCGAGATACAGAAAAGAATCCTGGACGGACTCAAATCCGGTAACTCACTGGTTGTTCGGGATCTCCCCGGCACGGGAAAGAGTTTTGCTATCGCCGCCTGGGTTTTAGGGCTTGAAAGAGCGATGAGACGGGAAACGAGCCGGGGGGTTGGCAAACGGTCCCCAACGACCACTGCCTTTATCTTAGTTCCCAATGCTGATCTGGGAATCCAATATTACCTAATGATCGGGAATTTGCTGCGAGCATCCGAATCTCAGGCTATCAGCTCGTCCCTGGACTCCTTCGTACAACTTCTACATCGAAGAGTAGCAGAGGGAGAGTCGCAAAGCCAGATAAAGTTACTCTCGGAGAACCCAAATCCGCACATAATCATCGCCACCCCTCCGGCCCTTATGGATATCATATCTGATAGATCTGATTCCGTCAATGGGTTATTGGATTTCTCGAAAGCGACTGCATTTGTCCTCGACGAGTTTGACGCCTTAATCCCGAGATCCCACCCCACCACCACCCGGCCCAGGGGACAGCCGTGGGTCTCCCCCGGCATCCGCAGCCCGATTTTCACACCATCATTGACACCACCACAGTCGGCTGTCGAAACACTACTTGATTGGGGTTTCAAACGGCGCAAAAAGGAGGCACTGGCTGGAAGGGCGCCTATTCAACCGCAATTGGTGTTTTCCTCTGCGACTCTGTCAACGTCTCGGATGACCAAATTCATCAATCTTAACCATCCCCTGTGGATAGGTCAGGAGGAAAAGAGTTTTCCCGCTACGGGCGCTAGCCCCTACGATCTACCCAAAGCGTCTCGCCTGCTTTCTATCGGCGATGAGAGCTCCGGTATTGATAAGATTGTGAGAGCGGTTGCTGACAATATCGTTCACCATGCGGTAGCCTATGACATTAGTTCCGGGTTCATGAGAGACGCTCCGATCCCAAGGACGGCGCTCTGGGCAACCGAAGAAATAACGCAGAGGTTGGTTGAACTGAAGGCTTACGAGGCTGAAAATGCGGAATCTAGATATCAGGCCAAGGTTCTTAGGAAGGAGAGAGGTTCCTTAGCCCTAATGCCACCAGAATCATGGGATATGTCCAATTCGCAGGCCAAACGTGCCGGATACCCTCCCGAAATCGCAGCAGAGGCCCTTCTAAAGCTTTTAGAGCACGATGGATGGCCAAGGAATGCAGTTGCTGCCATTGGTAGGGAGGCCGGTATTCGGCTATTTATCACGGAGTGTGGGAAGCTGGGTATAGATGCAAGGGAATTGACGGTAGACAATTGGAATAGAGATATGGAAAGGGAGGGACGGATACCCATAGGAAGAACAGATATGCTATTCGATCCCAAGATCAGGGAATACTACAAAGAGCGAAATGAGCGAGACGCCTGTCGGGATAAAACCATTGTTTGGGTTGCTACTTCGGCCTCTGCACGTGGGCTTGACGTCCCCGGGGTATTCCATTTATACGTCTTACATCGCCTCGAGAAGGCAAGAGAGTACATTACCTATTGTGGCAGAGTAGCTAGATGGCCGTTCTCCACGCTCGGGGAGGACATCAAGGATCCAGGCGGTCTTGGAACCGGGGTGCGTCGGGGCGTGGGAAAGGTAGTAAGTCTACTGTTGGAAGACCATGCAGTTCCAGCCTCTGGCCTCGAAGGTTCATCCGTAGGGGATCAGGTCATTACGAATGATGGTTCGGACCGTGCGAATTGGTCCTGGCTGGAGGAGGGATTAATGGTTGCGAAAATTGGCTGTCACTTTCGGGACTATTATGCAAAAGCCGGCGAGTACCCTTGTGGACCGGAAGTGCGAATGCCCGAACCTATAAGGCCGAAGGCTCCTCCACCCACCCCGAGCCGTCCTTTCGAACTCTTCGATGCCGCGCTCGGATCCAGCCCCTTGCAAGAGCCATCATTCTCCCACCTCTGGAAAGAATCGTCTTCTAATCAGATTCCCAGAGATCTCCTCGAGTCGCCACTGGAGCAACCAAAGCAAGCATCAGAAAAGATCCAACCTGAGCCCTCGACCGACCTGTTAGACATGTGGAGTCTTCCCTTCCCCGATGGCTCTAGCAAACCTGCAGAAGAACTACAACAACAAACCAGAAGCCCCCACGACGACGGCGATGAGGCCAACCTCTGGTCAGCTCTCAAAGATCCCGCACCTCCACCACAGACCCCGGACTTCTCGTTATTTAGATCTCCACAAGAAGATTTTAGAGCTGACCGGCGCCATGTACAGGAAGGGGAAGCGGGCAAATCACCCACCAGAGTCAACTACGTAGACGGTGGATATTGGGAACCCCCAACAAGGTATTCTCGAGACCAAGGCCGTGATCCTAGCAAGTCTAAAGTTCCAGAAAGGGTTTCAGCGTTCGACATGGATGCTGTCGGAAAACTCAACCTTAACCCCAAATCTCCACGAGAAGAATTCCGACCGGATCTGAGGAGCGATAGTGAGCGGAAACAGGAGGCAGAAATGTTATCGCTCAAAGGCGTAGACGCAAAAGAAGGATATCAGGAGCCACCGGGAAAACTTAAAGTACTCATGCATGGATTCAAACGCAATCGGGCGGGACGCCCAAGGAAATTGAACCAGAATTTGGAGGATTTTGGCGGAACATTAGTGCCGTTTAGTGAACCGAGGGAGGAACCTCCGGGGAGTGAGAAGGAAGCCAGGAAAGCATCAGAGGAAGAGAGAGAGCCGTCGGAGGAAAAGAAGGCGTCAAAAGGAGAGAAAAGGACTAAGAAAAAGAAGACGACAAAGCCAGCAAAGGCCAATGCAGGGACAGAAAAATCAAAAAAGCCAAAAAAGCCAAAAAAGCCAAAAAAGGTTGCGAGGGGGGCGCCGAAACAGCGACTGAGTTCGGCAGAGGAGGCGATAGACGTGCTTAATGACTTGCTTGAGGATGGAGGCATGGGGCAGATACAGGACACCGAAGCCGAGGACGAAGCAGGGTAGATTCCACTTTTTTCTTTCTTTCTTTCTTTCAATTTTCTCCCCTTTCTTCATCTTTTCCCTTTTCTCCTTCTGTTGCATACTCTCTTCCTTTACCTTTACCTTTCCTCTCTTTTCCATTTCTGTTACTTGTTCCCCCTCCTCTTCTCCCCCCATACGACCTTTCGACATTTTGTCTTGATTTTTTAAAGATTTCTCGTAGACTCGTATAAAGAGTTTATGCGTAGTGGTGGGTGAGCGGGGTTCTGTACATTATGTGTGGCCGATTGGTGGAGCTAGGACAGTTGGCAGCGACAACCGGACGAAGAAATGGTATCCCTCTGCTTCTGGAACAGTACCGATTTCACACTTACCATGTATTAGTGGATTTCACCAATTGCACATTTCTCAGGATACGAAATTGGTGCCTAGCCCCAATCTATCCTTCCCCGCGCTATCCATCCATCCATCTATAGCGGATGGAGTGCGGGCCGGCGAGCAACACCGCATCATACCGGGGTCCGAACATAAGCCACCACCAGAACTCCCCCCCCCCAAAACGAAAAGAAAATCCCCCCTCCACACACACATACATACACACACCTGCCATCACACCTACCATACCCTATTACCGGTATATAATAGTACCGCCCCTCCTCCCACAAAACCCAACAAACGGACAACAAGCGGAACACCATAACATCCCCCCCCCCCCACGCGCAAACAACACAAGCGGAAACCCTACCTACCGAATGATGGATCCCGAACCAGAGTTTCTTTACAGGTACATATCCTGCCACAAATTGTCATGGTATCATAAAGCAAAAAAAAAAAAAAAGCACACTCACTCGGTCGTGTGGTGGCGGTGGCCGCCGGGGTTAGACTTTACAGAACCGCGATTACGGTTTTTTTCAGGAACCGGTTGATGTCTGCGATCTTTGGACTGTGCTCATACCGGGGGTGGGAATCGCTGTGATTCTGGTGATTTATCATAGGAGTATGACTGTATTGTGGGTATGTGGTATTATGGTGGTAGAGCGGTGGTTAGTGGGTTGGTTGGTGATGGGGCATCCTAGATGGATCTGCGAGTCCCCAGCGATGAGTTGGGAGGGCAAATATTGTTCGTTCCGATCTCTACACACTGCGCACTCCCCATGTCTCGTTCATCGAGATTCGCCTGCATCCCCAAGACGTGACCCCCCTCAAGATGTTCTCTATGCTATAACGTTTATTCTGCAAAGCCATTACCGGGCCAATCATCACATGATATCACCCCTAGAAAAAAGTAAAATGTCCCACAAACTCACCAAAAACATAGTATCCCCAAGACACACCATAAAAAAAAAGAGAAAAGCTAAGATAAAAATGCCCAACGTGCAAAAGGCAGACTGGTTGAAAGTCCGTTACTCCCCATCCCACTGTGTACCGAATCCCATTGTAAAAAAAAAAAGAGAGAAAGCCGCCCGTTACAGAAAAAAAGACCAAACACTGAATAGGTGAATACCGAGTGGGTCTAAAGAGTTATTTCGGGGAAATGTTTATGGAAGGTTATACCGAAAGAATCTATGGAGAAAAAAGCCCAGCAAAAGAAAGAACACGATAGAAATTCAACGCAAACCCCGGCTCCTACAACTTGGGTGTGCATTGAGGGGTCTATTCGATAGTTTCGACAGGGACGCAAGAACAGAAGAGGTTAAGGTCACCGAAAGCTGTGGCCCTCATTAGTTCAAGCATACCAAAAGAGCTAGGGTTATACGAACAGTCATCGACTCTGGTCACGGTGGGCCAGAACTTTCTATCCTTCAAGTAGGCTAACGGGAATGCAGCCTGGCTTCTACCATACGGACGACTCCACTCGTCGGCGATGAGATCCTTCTGGGTGTGAGGGCTGTTCTTCAAAACATTGCCCTCGCGGGGTTGTTCGCCCGACTCTACCGCTGCGATTTCCTTACGGATAGAAATCAAAGCATCACAGAAACGATCCAGTTCTTGGAGGTTCTCGGATTCAGTAGGCTCAATCATGAGAGTTCCGTTAACGGGCCAAGACATGGTGGGGGCATGGAACCCGTAATCCTGGAGACGCTTGGCAATATCGAGAGCTTCAATGCCGGCAGTCTCCTTAAATTCCCGAAGATCGAGGATAAACTCGTGGGCACAGCGCGAGTTGTTGTTAGTATATAGCACCTTGTAATGAGGAGCCAGACGAGAAGCCATGTAATTGGCGTTCAACAATGTAATCTTGGTAGCATGAGTCAAACCACGACCCCCTATGACACCAATTAGCAATAGAAAATAGCGAATAAGGAATCCACTCCCTTACCCATCATTTTGATGTACGACCAGGAAATAGGCAAGATACTTGCAGATCCCCAAGGAGCGGCTGAGATTGGCGCGATAGCATGCTCCCCTCCGGTCTTAATAAGAGGATGCCCAGGGAGGAAGGGAGCCAAATGACCCTTCACGCCTATAGGGCCAACACCGGGCCCTCCGCCACCATGAGGAATACAGAAAGTCTTGTGCAAATTCAAATGGCAGACATCAGCCCCAATCTCCCCGGGGCTACAGAGGCCGATCTGAGCATTCATGTTGGCACCATCCATGTAGACTTGTCCTCCGTAAGCGTGGATAATTTCACAAGCCTTCTTGACGCCCGGCTCGAAAACTCCATAGGTGCTTGGGTATGTGACCATGAAAGCGCCAAGTGCATCTCTATATTTCTCGGCCTTCGCCTCAAGGTCAAGGATATCCAAGTTGCCATTCTTAGGATCACATTTGACAGTGACAACTCTCATCCCTGCCATAGATGCCGATGCCGGATTGGTACCGTGAGCGGACTGAGGGATGATGCAGACGTCCCGATATCCCTGGCCGATCGAATTGAGATACGCACGAATGACACGAAGACCAGCAAATTCGCCCTGAGCACCAGAGTTTGGCTGAAGGGAAACGGCATCGAAACCGGTAATATCGGCCAAGTCAGCTTCGAGTTCGGTAGTCAGCTGCTTGTAGCCCTGGGCCTGCTCGAGCGGCACAAATGGGTGAAGGGAATTGAATTCGGGCCAAGAGATAGGAATCATTTCGGTAGTGGAGTTAAGCTTCATGGTGCATGACCCGAGAGGAATCATGGAATTGGCCAATGACAAATCCTTCGACTGAAGATGATGAAGATATCTCAGCATTTCCGCCTCCGAGTGATAGCTATTGAATATGGGATGTTCGAGGTACTTTGAAGTTCTCTTGAATGCCTTAGGGAGTTTAGCGGGGTGGTCAGGTCTGATCTCCAAGTCTTCGGCAATCTCCTGGCAGAATTGCTCCCACTTTGGCCTACCGGGGTTCTTCTGGGCAAATGCCGAAAAGGCTGCAAATATATCCTGCATATCCTGCTGGGTTACCGTCTCATCGACGGAGACCGCTACCCTCTGACTGGTAAGAACTCTAACGTTGATACCGTACCATTCAACAAATTTCGCAGCTAGATCCTTGGCATCCTTAACCTCGACAACCACGGTATCAAAGTTTGCTTGAGAGGGCTTGTTCCCAGGATTGACCTCGAACCCCATTCTCAGAAGACCTTCCTCCAGAATCCGAGCCAAGCCATAAACCCTCTGGGCAATCTTCTTGAGACCCCTGGGCCCATGGTATACAGCATACATAGCGCTCATATTCGCCAACAGAGCCTGAGCAGTACAGATATTACTGGTGGCCTTCTCGCGGCGGATGTGCTGCTCTCTCGTCTGGAGCGAAAGTCTATAAGCCTTATCACCAAGACGATCCTTAGAGACACCGATCAGTCTTCCAGGCATCTTGCGCTTCCCTCCATCCGAAGTTGCAAAGAAGGCTGCGTGAGGACCACCGTAACCCATTGGAACACCGAATCTCTGAGAATTACCGAAGGCGATATCCGCGCCGAATTCTCCCGGGGGCTTCAGCACGGTCAAGGCAAGCAGATCTGTTGCCACCGAAAGCAGTGCACCAAGTTTGTGAACCGACTCGGAGAGCTTAGAATAATCGTTGATGCTTCCATCAGTTGCCGGGTACTGAACCAAGACCCCAACCAAGTCTTGCCCCAACTTTTCCACGGATGCAAGATCCAGAGCATCTCCGACCCGAACTCTAATTCCAAATCCTTCCGCACGAGAGTTAAGAGCCGCAATTGTTTGCGGGTGAACCCTGCTGTCGACGAAAAATGTCCTATTTGGGCGCTTTTGGCGTGGGACCGGAAGCGATGCCAAGGACATAGTCATGGCCTCAGATGCAGCTGTCGCCTCATCAAGCACGGATGCATTGGCAATGGCAAGGCCAGTAAGATCAGTGACAAGGGTTTGAAAGTTGATTAATGATTCGAGACGACCTTGTAGAAGCCAAACTTAGTAAGAAAAAGAAAACTGGGGAAGAAAAAAAGAAAAGAAAAAGAAAAAGAAAAGAAAACACATGATGATGCCTACCCTGAGAGATTTCTGGTTGATATGGTGTGTAAGATGTGTACCACTCGGGACTCTCCAAGATATTCCTAGCGATTACCGCCGGAGTTTTCGTACCGTAGTAGCCAGCGCCAATGTAACTCCGCATGACCTTGTTCTTACCCGCGATGGTCCTCAATCTCGCCAGAAGCTGAGTCTCGCTCAGACCATTATCTGGCTCAACCTTCAACTTTCTATCGGAAAGAATATTGGTCGGCAAAACATCGTTCACAAAGGCATCCAGGCTACCGTATCCAAGAGATCTAAGCATAAGCTGAGTCTCCTCCTTGTTAGGCCCAATATGACGCCTCTGGAAAGTATCCAAAGGGGCATAAATCGACACAGGCTCCTCAAACTCAGTTTCGACCACCTTAAAGTACTGGCGAGTTGATCCGGAAACGCTATCGGGTCCCAATGGGACCCTCGGAAAAGGTGTGAAAATTGAAGGGTCCTCTAAATTCTCTGTTTCAACGATGGTAGAGTGCTTGCGGTTTGGCACCCTGGGGATTATTGCTAGATGTCTAACATGCCAAATTGAGCCGTGTTTCCGAATGATTTTCGAACAAAGAGCCGAATTCTTGCTGGCGGGAGCCAGAGACGAGGAATAGATCGAGGCGATTCCAGGACCGGCTGCCAAACGGCGTATCGCAGTAGTAGACATGGCGCAGGCTGAGTTCTAACAGTCCGGAAGGGGAGAAGAGGAAGAAGGGAGAAGAAAAACCTGTGCCTTATGTAACAAACCGACCAATTCAGCTATAGAATGCAAAGATAACGCACTGATAGCGCAAAATATTGACCAGGATCAGGTGGGAGAAAAAGAACCTTGAATCTCTCTTATCTGCGAAATTGAGGGCAGGGAAAGCTCCGGTGAGTAGATGGAGAAAGTCCGAAGTTCCCAACTCCTAGAATCTCAGTCAGATACCGCAACAAAGCTTCAACCAAGGCAACCAAGCTAACGATAGGTAGCATCTCGCAAACGGTGATGTAAAGCCACCGTTGATAACCGAGGAAGTCAAAGACCTCATCCGGGAGAGCAACGGAAGAATTCGGGAAAGTCGGACCAGCGAAAAAAAACGCTCACCTCAATTCCTCAAACTAATAGCCGACGAATCTAACGGAGTGATTGCCAAGCGAGAAGGCTCCACGATAGGGAGCTTGACGGGAATATAGTGGGTGGGAAGGAAAGCTGTGGCGACAGGCAGAGGGTAGAGATGGAGGAGAGGGAATTGGAATGAAGGGGGCGAGAGGAGGGAGAGGGGAGGGGAGGGGAAGAAGGGGGGAAGGGGCAGGGCGGAACGAAAGAAGACGTCAAGGAGAGGAATGACGAAGGTGGTGGGGCGATGGCAGGCAAACCAACAAGATGTAGGGCAATGTAGATCAGTGGGCGCTGCTCCAAGGACACCGAGTTACGGGTGTAGAGATTCCCATCCGAAGGGAAGCTTCACAAGCGAGGAATTGCCTCCCAAAGGAAAAGAGCGGTCGGGGCTGTGAAAGCTGTTTTCATGGAGAAGAGAGAATGAAGGAGGGATGAGGGGAGGAAAGGAAGGGTTTAAAGGAGCGAAGCCGGAGGACAGGAATTGGGTGAAGAATTGCACGCGTACTCGGGGTACCTCTGGGCCTTTGCACTCGTGTCCCCTCTTCGCGGTAAGGAAGTATGATATGAGAGCTCTCGGTAGCATTTTTAGGGTCACGGAGTTTTCCTCTTTTAGTTCACGATACCAGGAGATATATCTCATGGTGTGGAGGACACTTGTGCCCGCGGTGCGGTTGGCCGGTTATCGAGATAGAAGAGGTGTGATTCCCAAAAGGAAAAAAAAGAGAAAAAGAAAAAAAAAAGAATATGTCTCGGCCTCAACCCTGCAGCTGCATCGCTAGGCATTTATATGTACCGCTGTTTTGGAATATGATACCGGTACCTCTTCCTGCCCCAAGAATAATATGGGATTCCGAATGGAGAAGTTCTTACCCCGTTAAAGTACCGTACGGCATGTCCCAGGACCTTCGACACTTCTCACCGGCGGAGGAATTGGGATAACCATTTCGTGCGTCAAACAGGCCGAAGGGAGGTACCCGTGGAGGAGTGAAGCACCGTCGATCCAACCTAAGCCGTACCGTACGGGTACAGCGTCGAAAATCCATTCTCTCATCCCCAAGTTTTCCAGGAAGCACTGAGTTGGGGGGACATACAGTACGGTGTCTCAACCCATTGGCCTGGTCACAAGAACTGGCACTTGTATGATACGGAATTGCTTTTTGCTTTTTCCAACGGTTCGGAATGGGAAACCGGTAGGGTTACTGTGCTGTGTCATGGGCAAAGCCAGCTTTTCGCTTGCAGCCAATAGATAGGCGAAGGGCTAGCCCTCAAGAGGTGAACACATCCTCCACCAATCCCATCATGCCGAACGACAAAAAAAGGAAATATCCCTCCTCTGTGGGACTCTGGAGATCGGAACCCCCATGGATAGCAGATCCCGGAGGAGGGAGAAAGACGAGAGGGAACGAAAGGTCTTCCGAGTCTTCGGCCCTGTTGGCGGGGCCCACTGGTAGCACGAGGGGACCGGGATCCCTCCTCAAATAGCGGTAAAGCTACCGTATATTGTTATGGCTATTATTATAGCACCAGCCAAGCGCGCCACAAAGCTTCAACAGGAACTCCCACCGTACCGGCAGTCACCCATCCCGCCACCACCCTGGACCACACGATAAGGCCCCATCCATCCATCCCGATGTTGCGGAATCATACGTCCCTCCGAAACAAACCCTTCGGCCGGCATTCCAACCAGGCCTCGAGCGGCGAAAACAGAGCAAAGGTCGACAATAATATGGAACAGATGGCATAGGTTCACACACACACGCACACACACACTAACACACTCATCCACACTCACATATTGTACCGGTATCGAGTACGGTAAGCGGAGCTCGAAAACCTGATCGCTGCGCATATGAGTACATATCTCTTATGCAATAAGCCCACCTACCGACAGACAGCGGTACTGCCAATTCCGTCCAAAAATATAATCTGACCCTGGAGGAGCTCAGGCCCTGGTTATATGCAAGCGGGAGGAAGTGCGGTACTCTCAAGTCACTGTACCTTAACCGTACCAGTAATAAACTCGAGACCACGCACTTCACCTCGCCTGTTCCCGGAAGCGCACCCCCCTGCTTGTGATTTTCGTTATCCGGAGAGGGGATAGCCTGCCGGGTGGTCGATATCCATATCAGACCGCACCGGCGGGGCATTCGCCGTTGGTGAAGAAAAGTTCACGAGGATTCACTCGGGCTGGTCGCTGGCGGGGGGTGGTACTTGCAGCACAGCCAGCTATGAGGGGTTCGTTGTCGATTTACAGGGAGCCGTGCGAAGCGGTTAGTTGTTGGAAGTTCTGTCGTTTGCTTGACGATCCCGCCCCTGATCGCACGATGTGATTCGGAGTCTATGCGAAAAGCGTGGGAATGAAGGCGGCGCCGAAGCTCCATTGTATAAGAGTGTTCCGGGGACCCAGGTGAGATTTTGTGGGAAATAAAAAGGAAAACTATTCCAAACCAGCCACTCCCAGGCCCTCCCTTTAGAGTATGTACCGTCAATGCTTTTTTTTTTCTTTTCCACACAGTGCCAGCAAAATGCTACGTTTCGCCCGCAGCCGAGAAAATAGACATCTCGCGTTAAAGATAAGTGGAATCCAGGAGTGTTTGTATATATATATATATACCGGTATATATATGTTTCGAAGGTCCTGGAGGCGCGTTAGGCAGAGGATATGCAATTTTGGTGGGGGGCAATGTTTTGTCATGCCAAACAAGGTAACAGGCGCGCTCTCAACACATCTTGGCGGGATCTTTGGCCTGGAATCTTCCTAAAAAGGAGATTTACCGACAAATTCTAAGCCACAAAGGCTCTCTTTATAACTGTTCTTTTCAACATTAAGGGGAAAAAATAATTTCCAAAAGTTTTAGCAGCGCCTCCGGGTTACCCTCTCTAATTCTCTATTGATTTTTTTTCTTTTTTCTCTCTCTTTTTTCCCCCCTGTGGGGTCTAGGCGGGTAATGCTGAAAGTAGTAAGTATAGTGAGATCGCCGCCATCATTCGTTACGGTACTGTACAGTACTCGTACGGGTACAGTGCCAGTACAAGCACTAGTACGGTACCGGCACTGGAGTGTAATGTGCGGTGCTCGTGAGGGCTGAAACCTTGTTGTAAATTTATCCGGTATGATACAGTGTCTAGCACCGGCATTCGATGGGAAGGATCTGAGAGCGGGCGGCAGGTGTTGAGAAGGCTGTCCCGAGATTCCACGCTCGATTGCGTTCATGCCTTCCGTGCGCCATGATCGGTTACCCTACGGTAGATCTACCAACGCATGCAACACGGTCTCGCGTGACGGTGACGCTCGGTTTCTTCTGTCACTTCGTTTCCCAGGCGGCGGGCAACCTGACACGCTGCACCATATCATTGTCTACCCAGTCACTGTACTGCACTGTACCGTTACTGTAGAGTCCGTCTCACGCTGCCGTGGAACACAGCCAACCCCAACTTCACGAGAGATCACCATCGTACCTCAACATTCAGCAGCCAAACCGGCCCTGACCCTCCCCCCCCCACCGTATTCCTCCCATATCATCAACCTCCCCCCGCAATCTTTGCCGCCGGTATTTCGAAGACGGTAAAAAGCGCAGGGGGTTTCGGGTGAGCAAAGTGCAACTCTGATCGTTCCCGTGCGTGCCCAACGTATCCGTGGACCGTCGCGTGTCGAAACACCAGAGACCAGATGACCCCCGGCAGGAAACCCCGCAGCCGATGACAAACCGTGGCTTCGACGTTGAGGCTGAGGTTAGCAGCCACACACATGCTCCACAAAGGGACGAAACTACCGTACCGTAACAAACAAGCGGATTATCATAAGAGAGAAAAAAAAAAAAAGTTCACGAGCTACCGATAGAAGTAACACAAAGCCCACACCCGAAAAAAATTATGATGCAATCCGGGCTCAAGTCTTGGCAGGGCAGATACGGTATATTGGGACTGGGAGGTGCCGGTACTTTGTACTTTTTTTTTTTTTTCTTTTCCATCTTTATTTTTTATCCACACACCATTCAAACCTTCTCGTCTTTGTCTTCACGATGATATTATTATTATTATTGTTATTATGATGGTACCATGGGGTATCGGTACGGTGGGGCCCCTCTGATAGATGGGTAACCTAAGCCCAAGCGACAAGTTAGCGTATGATACCGAATCTGCCGGTATCACTTTTCGACCCTGGTTTTCGTGCTTCGGTCGGTCGGGCGGCTATGGATTGTTTATTGGTTCCACGCCTGGGCTCCCCCCGTGATGCAACGATTGGGTTTTGAGGATGCGTCGCGTCTCCTGCTTATTTAGGTGGCTTTCTTGGAGTTTCTCCGGTCGGGAGGAAGGATTGGCCGGGGATCGTTTTATGAAAGAAAAGAGGCGGGATGGGCAAAGTGGGCAAAAACAAAGGGAAAAAAAAAGGGAAAAAAAAAGTCTCCCTTACTATCCTGTGCAAGGCGCTTGTTGGGATTACGGTGGCCTTTAAAACATGTGGTTTCGCCGAAACGGCGGAGTGAGGAGGAGAGCCGGTGGTATTTGTTTGTTTTTCTCCGTTCTCCTTTCGCTCCTTTTTGTTTTTCCCTCATTCCTCGTTGGTGTTGGTGCTCACGCTGCCTTCTCATACCCTTCGCGGTATGGGGTGGTGGTGGTGGTGGTGGTGAATTGCAGGCTGGGCAGAAGAAGAAGAAGAAGAAGAAGAAGAAGAAGGATTCATGGAAGGCCCTGGTAGCTGCATTTTAAGGTACAAGTATGGTCAGAAGTTGGGCACTTGTGGTTGGCGGCGAGGCGATACTTGCATCGATAACTATTGGCAGCGGTGGTGGCAAGTGGTGGTGGTGGTTCTTGATGTCTGTGAGGGGAAACTGCTGACTGTACGGTGTGCGTTGCTGTACTGTACTGTACATACTCGTACAGTACAGTACCTGCACGACGTGGTCGAAATCTACATCATACCGGTAGAGGCTCGCCAAGGAAGGTTCCCAGAGTTCTATGCCAATTTCCATGTGGCTGTTCCTACAGTAGGGCACTTTAGATGGTGAAGGGTATGTGTATGATATGATACAGGCATCAACAAATATTTTTATTTATTTCAGCTCGGGGGATGGATGGAGGGTTTAATCAAGGCGATTGTCCTGAGTGGAGGGGGCGAGCTTGACTAAGAATGAAAGAGAATCATCCCTCTGACGAGGGGCGAGGAGGGTGGAGGAAACCAACAGAGCAACGAGAGAGCTGCAAGAGTGAGACGAACCGGGGATCGGCCAGTGAGAGGGAGGAGAAGTGAGAGGGCGGAGAGAGGGAAGGAGAAAAGAGTGGTAGCCGAAAGGAGTCGAGAGAGCCTGGACCAGGGAGAGAGAAAAAAAAAGGGGCCGAGAGAGGCTGGCGGGGATACCGTCATTCGGGAGGGGAAGTGAGAGGAAAAGTGATAAACTCGCTGGTGCCATCTATCCATCCATTCTTCTCTCTGGAGTAAATTGTTCCTATTCCGCGGTGTATGATACTGTACGAGTGCAGCACTCGTACCCGCATAATCGATCGCCGTCCTTCCTTGAAGCCATCTCTCCTTGCTCTCATTAAATTTTCTCGTTAATTATTATTGTCGTTGTTATTATTACTTTCCCTCTCCCTCCTCCCCTTCTCGCCAGATTTGCCCCCCCAGCCTTGCGCTCGCTATCCGGTCAGCAACAACGAGAAAAGCCCCCCTCGATACACCGACTCCTGTTCCTGACCCCTTCAACCGTTGCTTGCTAGTCAATAAGAAGGGCAAGGGGAAGGCACCGCTTCCCTATCCCCCCACCCGTACCCGACGACCTCGCTATTTGGGGTACAGCTATCGCCAAGCTGGAATTTTCGCTGCTCCCTGCTTCTCCCCCCCACTTAACCCTCTCTAGTACAATCACCGCTCCCACCTTCAACTTTATCAACGTCTCCATCACCTCAAACATCTCCTATACTTGATTCCCCCGTACTCTCCTCCGCCGTAAAGGGAGAAGAAAAAAAAAAAAGGGAGAGGGAGAGAAGGAAAGGAAAGAAAGAGAGCAACCGGAAAGGCTTTCGGCAGCAGAAACAACACGTCACGACAGGCGGTTGATACTCCCCCGCCCCCCCCAAAAAAAAGGTCACAGAGAGGAAACAATGAACGGCGACGTCGGGGTCAAAAAAGCCGCAATGAATAAGGTGAAGCAGGTTGCGAACGCGGCCACCGGAGGCGGCGCTATTGCGAACGGTAACAAGAAGAGGAGAAAGGGTCAGGATCTGAAGCCCATCATCACCGGGGAGCAACAGAATGGTGGTTCGCCGCCCCTACCTCCGACCGTTGCGGGTAACAAGCAGAGGTATTTACTTCTCCCTTGATTCCCCCCTCTTCAAACCTCGCTTTAGCGGGGACCTGTTTTGCGCTTTACCCCCTCATTCTCCACCTCCCCCTCTTCCTCCGCCCCTTTTGTGTTGAACCGGTGTCCTTGACGGTGCCTCTTGCATCGCTCATCTCTCCGATTTTTCTCCCCCCCCCCCCCTCCTCACCCGTACCTTGCTGACGAGCGTGCTTGAGTGTGTACTGTAGCGATGTAAACACACAATCTCCATTATCGCATCAAAAGTCAACATCGATCGTTGCTATTACCACTACCCCACCCAACGACACACCTACCTCTGCAACGTCTGCAAACTCTAGGGTCTCCTCGTCATCGCGGACGGGTGAGGAGGAGGAAGGGAATACAGCTGACGAGGAGGATTACGAGGATTATTGTAAGGGAGGATATCATCCCGTGACGGTTGGTGAAAATTTTAAGGACGGCAGGTATGAAGTGCTTCGGAAACTGGGGTGGGGTCATTTCTCCACCGTCTGGCTATCGAGGGACAACCAGACTGGCCAACACGTAGCCCTCAAGGTTGTCCGGAGCGCTTCCCATTACACGGAGACCGCCTTGGACGAGATCAAGTTGCTGCAACGGATAGTTGCTGCGAAGCCGACGCACCCTGGTAAAGCCCATGTTGTATCCCTGCTGGATTCCTTTGAGCATAAGGGGCCCAATGGCAACCATGTTTGCATGGTGTTTGAGGTGCTCGGGGAGAACCTGTTGGGATTGATCAAGCGGTATAACCATCGCGGAATTCCCATGGGCCTCGTCAAGCAGATCACGAAGCAGGTTTTGCTGGGCCTTGACTACCTCCACCGAGAATGTGGCATCATCCACACGGATCTGAAACCGGAGAATGTTCTGATCGAGATTGGGGACGTCGAGCAGATTGTGCGGACATATGTCAGCGAGGAGACCAAGAAGAATGGCAGCTTGGCCCCCGGAGACAAGGGTGATAGGAACGGAAGGCGCAGGAGAAGGACCTTGATCACTGGGAGCCAGCCATTACCCAGCCCGATCAGCGCTAGCTTTGCGCATAGACACGATGACTTGCCGAGCGCGGGTGGCTTCAAGAATAGCCATAGTTCACTGAGCAGGTTAATGGCCAGCGCCGCAACCGATTCTAATGGGAATTCGGAGGCGTCATTTAATGGCGGGGGCGACAGGGACGATCAGTCGTACAAGGTTCGGGAGAAAACAGCGTAAGGATCCAGCGCCACCAATGAACTTGTTATCGTGGTGCTAACGTGCGATCCATAGGGATGTTATAACTAGGGAGGTATCTGGGATCTCGCTCGATAAGGCCGGGTCGGATTCCGATATGGTTCCGGGACTCGAGACCATCTCTGTCAAGATTGCGGATCTCGGAAATGCCTGCTGGGTAAACCATCACTTCACCAACGATATCCAGACTAGACAATACAGATCTCCGGAAGTCATCCTGGGCGCTAAATGGGGGGCTAGTACGGATATTTGGAGCATGGCCTGCATGGTAAAGCATTCCGAGCCCTGACCCCAGCCACTACAACTAATGGGTTGACTAGGTCTTTGAACTCATCACTGGTGACTACCTGTTCGACCCTCAATCAGGCACCAAGTACGGCAAGGACGATGACCATATCGCCCAGATCATCGAGCTTCTCGGTAGCTTTCCCCGCCACCTGTGCATGACGGGCAAGTGGTCAATGGAAATATTCAACCGCAAAGGCGAGCTTCGAAACATCCACCGTCTCCGCCACTGGGCTCTCCCCGACGTCTTACGGGAGAAGTACCACTTTTCACGTGAGGACTCTGAGCAGATCTCCGAGCTCCTGATACCGATGCTAGAGCTGAACCCGGAGAAGCGTGCGAATGCCGGTGGGATGAGCAATCACGGCTTCATCAAGGAAGCTGTAAGCATGGAGGATAAAAACGTGGACGTCGCCGTGGGAAGTAGAGGTGGAATCGATGGTTGGGCATGCGAGGTTAAGAAGAGATAGACAAAGACGAAAGGGAGGCTTTCTTTAATTCTTTTCCGCTTCTCCTATTGCTTTCCCAAATTTCCTAGCTTCATCATCTTTTTCTTTTTATTTTTCTATTAAACTGGACGTATTATTCTATAAGGGGTCATTCTTTACTTTTTGCTCTCTTTTTTTTTCTTTCTTTTTTTCTTTTTCTTTTGCCTTTCTCCTATTCCTATCTTTTCTTTTTCTTTTTCACCTTTAATGTGGAAACGATAGTTGAGGGAGTGGGACACAGTGAAGCAGGTAGAGTAGAGACGGGGATGCGGTATGTGAGATAGCCAGCCGATAGCAAACTATGATGTGATGGTATCATGGCATACCAGCGCTCAGGAAGCAAGCAAGAAAGGAAATCATGGGAGGCGCGGGGAGGGAACAGATATCATACATTACGTACTATACTGTACAGTACGCCATCCTAGAGACTTTATAAACGTACCATACCACATCGCACCTACCCATCATACCATATCGTTATTGCAAACGGACAAGACAAAGATCACTTTTCATCTACAGAGTACCGTACGGCGGGGCGGTTTTGGCACGGCCGCTTTTCATTCCTTTTCGCACTCGCATTGTGGGGGGCATGTATGCGAAGGCAACATTTGCTACGAAACATCAATCCTGTTCATCAGCCATCACTCGTGTAGCTAAATTAGAATCGGAGGTTCAAGTCTTTGGCCATCCCAGGCCACTCCAGAGGGGGGTAAACGCGGGGATAAGCAACGATCGGACAGGTCGTACAGATAGGAACTGGAGCTCATCCATCAGCACTCGAATTCCGATCAGGCCATTTACCCAGCCAGGGCTGGGAGGAGCAATGGCGGAAGGAATGAAGTCGAGGTGGCCGGACTCGACATGACTCGCCCAGTGCATAGTACCGTGCCGCGGTTCAGTATATATGGACCACCCGATGTATGATACCGCACTGCAGTTTTTTTTTTTCAAGATGGTGCGGGGATAAGGTACAGTACGGTACCGCTTTCCCTCTTTCCTTCCTTCCTTGCTTCCTGGAGGAGAAAAAAAAGGGAAAGGACAACTCCACTTTCATTCCCTCTCCCTAAAAAAATGAAAATAAAGGTGAAAAAAAATGAAAAAAATGAAAAAATAGACCAACAGATCTAGCATTTCAACTAGCAGAAAGTGAGGAGAAAAACTGTTTGTATAATATATCCAGCGCGATTTTTGTTTTGTTTCAAACTTGAGGAATGGAGGTCAATCCTCAAACATCTTCATCAGGATGGAGGTATGTATTGACTTGTACTTGTATTATAATACATCGGATTTTTCGTGGAATACGCATAACTCAGCGCAGACGAGGGAATATCTAATCGCCGAAAAGGGTTGCGGAAATTTCCCTTTTCAGTAATTGGATATTTATCCTTCTTTCGGAGTCGCTCTATACAAGTACTTGTACAGCATTCAATTCTGTGCAACGTCGCTGCTGGAACGGATTTCTAGAAAGGGGAGTATGATGCCGTACTGTGCTCATCTGTCTATAGATTGGCTTTAAATTTTGGTTTTTTGGTTTCCTCTTTTGGACTTCGTTGCCCCGTCCGACAAGTTATAGACTATGCATGCGCGAGCTCACCCCGATCAAGCACGGTACTCGTACGAGTATGATACTTTCTTCGAGGTATAACATGACGTAAAGCAGCGATTTACACATCTCTCTATACTCCGTAGTACAATTCTGGAGATCTTCTCTACGTGCGTGAATTCAGCCGCTTGCCTCCCTCCTTGCTTCCCCCGTACTGGGAAATGGTATGATACGCTTCCAACCTAAAAAGGGGGTTAGAAAATGGTGTATTATATCGTAGGAACCTGGGTAAGATGAATCCAATTTAGGAAAAAGAAAAAAAAATAGAAATAAAATCGTTCCATGCCCAATTATCATAACACATTCAACAACCGTCCATAAATCCTGACTTGCCGGGAAGGGAAAATAATTACTAGGGATGGTTGTCTGATCGCCTCCGAACTCGCGATTGCTTGCGTGACTTTTTTGGCGTTTGAGGATGGCGGCGTAGGTGAAGGATTAGATATTCTGTCATACGTGACGGGGAAAAGTTGACCACGGTTCTCACGGAGAATAGCTGATTTTGGCCAGTGTACAAGTACTGTAACCTCTCAATCAGCGAGTACTGTACCTGAAAAAAAGAAGAAAGAAAGAAAGAAAAATCAATAAATGAGCATGATGTCAGATAATAACGCTGCAACTAAATAATTTACAGCCTACCAAGAGTAGGAGGAGGAGGTTGTAATTACCACTCGATTGCCACGAGTCACATCTTATGATACAAATCTTGTGCCGAGACTTGTATGGTATGGTAAATTTGGTGGGGCATTTACACCTAACTTACCTCCTTCGCTCGGGATCTGGAGATTCCCCTGTTATCATAACTTCGTATTCTGAGTTTCCAAGGGTGTCTTCAGGTATGGTAGGAGTGAAATGCCCTATAATTTCAAAAATGCGCTCCTGCCTTTGCTAGTATGAAATGAGAGGATGGATGGGCAAAGTCAAACTCCTTTCAGAACCGAATTGCTGAACTGACAACTTTACCAACTGAGATGCGGATTCTCGAGATATCGTACGGGAGAGTGGTCAGCTGTGGTTTGGGCTTCTGGGATATAGGGGTTGTCCAGAGAGGGTAAATGTTGCAGTATCTTCAGATGTATGATAAGTACAGTACCTAAACACTACTTTGGTGAATTTAGAGACGGCAGTTTCAAGGGTTCCGATTTCATGGATCAATTTTTGGGCTTCAAGAAAGCTTGGATGTTTTGTATTCTTATGATACTTCTTCTCATTGTGGCTGTGAAGTAGTTGAGAGAATTGATTTTACGGTAGGCCTAGATTTTTGGTGGTTGCAGGTGGCCAACTTACCCGTCGTGTATATACGTTATACACTTCTATCTCACCCACTTGTATGATGCCAGTCCCCCCCCATTGCCTTTTTTACTAACCTTCTGTCCACTTTCTGCCTGGGGTTGTTCAGGATTGCTAGCGGTAGGTAGGCAGGCAGCGAATTCATCGTTGATCGTCCAATCCCGGCAATCAAAAGTCACGAACCGATCGCCATTTTACGAGAAAAAATGAGAAAATTCACATCTAGAAATTCTTCTCGATGGCGGGGAACCTGTTCTGGTGAAGAACGGTTAACCCTTATCAATAGATATCAATAGCAAAGCCTCGGGAATGTTGGGAGTGGGTGAAAGATATTGTGTCATATCATACCTTGAATGGAATCGGTTACCCAAATTATAAAAAGTGCACATTGTAACGTCCCCTATGATAGAACAAACCCCTGGCTATCAAATACTCACGCGGGAATGACAAACCACCCAATCCTATTGAAAAAGCCTGAGCAGTCGTGAAGCCCGTAATGCCACTCTTGTCCATCCTGTATGTGTTTTTTTTTGCTGAGTTAGGGCATTAGAGTTGTGCATTATTCATGTGGAATGGGGATCGGCTCATGACTTTTTGACGCCGAGATTGTACTGGGAAGGAAAGAGGGACAAAGAAGAGAAAGATAGAGGGGGATATGTCATTAGAATGCGCCAGTATAATACGCACGCGGGACACGTAAAGTTGTGTAGACTTGGGAGGAGGCGCAAAATCGGCAACGGGAGTAGCATTGATTGGGTAGATCTTTAGGATTTCGGTGGGCATCGAGAGACCACCGGTAAGACTTCTGAGAAGTGTTATTGTAGGTGCCATAATTGCTTCCTCTTCTTCCCCGGGGAGACGAAGAAGTGGTGGGGTCGACTAATATATGAGGCCAATGACCTATACTCTCAAGCACAATAGCGGTAGGTTAGCGGAGATATGATTGCAATATGCTAGATTGAACTTCGAGTTGTGGCACTGGAGTACGCTAAAGTCCCTGCTAGGCCAAGGGAAAGTAGAGAGAGAACTGAACCACGATGAGTTCACAATATAGCTCGAGTATCCATACCGCAACCCAAGCTCTCGCCCCCTCAACAATTTAGTAAAGCGAGGGAACAAAACAACTTACGGAAGGTCACTTTCCGGGCCGTTCCGGATAATGATACAGAAAAGAAAATCCCGGGAGCAGTTTCCTGTCAGCTGGCTCTGGGAATAGTTTGCTGATTCAAAGAATCTCTCGAGCACGCCATATTTCTTGAGTCTAGACCATGGGGAGACTTGGCAGATATCTCCTCCGGTTTTAGACCTCAACTATAGAAAGACAGGTAGCTCTCCCTCTGACCCTTGTTTCGGTATACAGTAGCTTCTCCACCCCATCCCGCTGGCCAGAACTGTGAATTGGTATGAGTGCTATCGAAAAAGAAGCTTGATTTTCTTACCACATGGGCAGCTGTGGGTTTTTATGCAAAACCGAAAAACTAAACAGGAGAAAAGAAATATCAGAAACCCGAGATCGGTAGTATGAGGGCCACGGGGGAGCGGGGGAATTTGACGGGACCTCGGAGGAGAAGGGAACATCTGAGAACCTAGGGACTGTGGATGATGAGAAGAAAGTAATAACACACTTGGATATGACGTGGTTGTGCTGTTGTGAGACAAACGGAGAAGAGATGAAGAACAACTCAAAGAGTGGCTAACGCTAAAGGGAATGGTGAGGAAAGGACTAAGATAAACTAGATGAAAGGAAACTAGTCTCTTTAGCGGATAAGCACTGAATCCAACGGGAACAATGGAACATCGAGTGATCAGCTGTGACTACTGGCGAAGCGCCTTGATAGTCGCATGAGGACTAAGGTAAATAACAGCTATCGTAGGAAGCTCTCCCGTGTATGATGGTATACCGGAGGTGGCAATGAGCGGGGTAGATTTAATCGCTCTTGCCCCCGTCCTCCTTAGATACGCATCTGTATTTTTACGCCTAGAAAAATAACCATCGTTCAATACGAACTAGATCTGTCCATCCTAGGAGCGAATTGTGGGTGCTTCTGGCGGGTCTGCTGATGCTAAGACCATCCCGCCTTGAAATGCTCCTCCTACAGGTCCTTGCACGAATAAGATGGACGGCAGGAGCCTATATCGACACTAATGCAAATCTAAGGTGTATATCACAGTACGGATCATGAGGGTTTATCATCCATACTTGGTAGATACTAAGATGAGATTTTGTGATCCCCCCTGTGTCGTATCCAAAAAGTTACCGCTTCCGATGGTTTGGTGGCAGGGGAATCTAGAGGGCCCTCGTTTTATATCTCAGCATGAATTGTGCAAAAATTACAATATTTCGGAATAGCGCTGGGATGTCCAGAACCTTTTTGATTGAGAGAGCGCAGGGAGAAACTTTCCTCGAGCCCTTAGCTTAGACGGATAGAGGGAAAGACAGGATAGACTTTGGTGACGGAAGCGAACCCAACGCCCTCGGGAGATTCTCAATTATTCTAGCTTTCACAGTATGCTCACGACCCCGTCCGAATCCCGGGGACTTCTTGGGCCGCCCGTCCCAA